CATTGAGGTACCTATCTGTATGGGTTTTCTTTCGAAATACAGTATGGCCTAAGGTGTTATTAGGATTTCTTTTAATTAAAACATCTAAGAAAGCTAAAGTACCACAATTCTCTTGTTCCATAGTAAATTGGATCTTAGTACTAAAAGAATTAAGATGGTCCAAGAAAGAAGGTATGCTATCTTTAGGTAATATTGTGAAAGTATCATCAACGTACCGTTTGAAATCTTCGGCCTAGCTGGGGCCATGGGTAAAACTCGCTCCTCGAAGTCTTCCATGAAAATATCGGCAACAACGGGAGATACCGGGGAGCCCATCGCTATACCGTCGCGAAAGCGTATGTAATGTTATGTCTTTGGGTGGCATAAAAGTGTTTTAAACAAAGTCAAAGTCAAAGATTATTTATTCCATAGGTAAAATAAATTTACACTTGAAAACGTCACATTTAAGCTACTGCTCGTTCACTACGCTGACCTCCCAACATAGCCCCGCACTAGGGAAACCCTGTGTCGCGGGTGCCATGGACACACACATAGACAGCCACTAATTACACCCGAACTCACGAGAGAAATAAATGTAAGCCATACAAATATTTCTCCCGGCCCGGGAATCGAACCTGGGACCTCTGCGTGGCAGTCCGGCATGGTAACCGTTCGGCCACGGAGGCAGTTAAAAGGTATCTGAGACATATAGCTAGTTTGCTATCTTTTAATATTAAGGACGCCGTTATAGAAGACATAACACAGTCCCACAACAATGCTCCTACTATGAGCAGCAACAGTATACTTATTACTAACCATAATTTAAACTGAAAAACACGACAACAGAAAAGTCTAATCATTTCCATATAGGACATCAAAATATTCAAGGCTTTTCTGGCAAAATAGAAATAAATTAAATTAGAAATAAATATTTTTTGCACGATATTTCCGTTGACGTGTTTTGTGTTACAGAACACTGGCTGAAAGACTACGAAGCAATTAACAACATAGAAAACTATGTAATAGTCAGTTCGTTCATAAGAAAGAGTTTAAGTAGAGGCGGATCCATGATTATTATTAAACGTAACTTAAAATTTAAAGAGCGTAAGGATATCACAGATCTTTCTACTGAACGAACTATACTGAGATTTCATGTGTGGAATTGGATCAGTTTGTCGTCTTATGTGTATACAGGCCCCGCTCTGCTAATTTTAACGAGTTTGAATTAATTATGGGACATACTTTAAAACGGATTTTTCCAACCAAAAAAAAAACGTAGTAATATGTGGAGATTTCAATGTAAACCTGCTGGAAAACTGTTCTACTTTTGTAACACTCATTAATTTATTTCAAAGTTTTAACTTGATTAATCTTTTTTTAGAACCAACTCGCATCACTGCCTCCTCTTCTACTTGTATTGATAACATCTTTTGTAACACAGACGCAGTGTCTAAATCAATAATAAATTGCTTAAGATCCGACCATAGTGGCCAATTGGCTTATTTTAATTGTAAAATGAGCAAGAAGGTAGACCAATTTCTCTGCAGACCGATTACCACAGAACGAATAATTAGATTTCAAAATAATATCGGCAATAGTTTAAATTCCCTATCCCATATACCGGAGGATCCAAATACTTTATATAACACGATATTTGGTTTAATTAAAAATGAATTTGACAATATATTTAAATCGAAAACATTAACTTTCCATAGAGAGACTAACGACTGGGCAACAGTAGGTATTTATAAGAGTATGTCTCGTTTGTAAAAGCTATATGCTATGAAAACTTATAATACTAATTCCAATTTCATAGAATACGTTAGAAATTATTCAAAAATATTTAACGAAGTATGTGTAGCTGCTAAGGTTAAGTTTCACAGCGACAAAATTAGACAATCGATAAATAAATCAAATAAATCTAAAACTACTTGGATCATAATAAATAAAAAGTCAGGCAGGGTTAAACAACACGATAGAGATATAGTTTTAGAATTAGACAGCAAACTTATAAAATCTAAAGACAAGGTAGCCCAAGCTTTTGAATCGTTCTTTTCGGAAATTGCTGTGAACACTACAGAATCATTAATCTCTTCCCCTTCTCTTGCTATTGATCTCCGAAAGGAAAATGTTAACGTTTGTGGCAGTTTATTTAATTTCCGTCATGTTAATCCACAAGACATCATAAAAGCTTTTAAATCAATACATGTTAAAAAAAACTGAAGATCTCTGGGACATATCAACTAAAGTTATAGACTCAGTTATTGATCTAATTTCCCCACATTTAGCTGTAGCTTTCAATAGGTGCGTTGACGAAAGTGTTATTCCCGATTTAATGAAATACAGCAAGATTATTCACTTATTCAAAAGCGGTAGGAAAGTTGATCCTAGTCACTATAGGTCCATTTCAATTTTACCAGCTTTAAGTAAAATATTCGAAAAGGTTATGCTGACTCAATTACTGTCCTATTTCTGTAGGAATCATATTTTTCATAGTGAACAATACGGGTTTACTATTGGTAGATCGACTAGCGATGCGGGGGTAGCGTTACTAAAACTCATCTTTGATGCTTGGGATAGGTCCCAGAACGCTATTGGTGTTTTCTGTGACCTCTCAAAGGCATTTGATCGCGTTGATCATATTACTCTTATTAGGAAGCTGGAACATTACGGTGTAAATGGCAAGGCGTCGAAACTTGTCTCGTCACATCTCAACAGTAGAATTCAGAAAGTAGACATAAATGGAGTGACTTCTTTGGGTTCTCCGGTAAAATGGGTGTTCCGCAGGGCTCAATACTTGGACATTTCTGATTTATATTAATGATCTGCCATTCTTTGTTAAGGATCATTGCGAAATAGTGTTGTTTACTGATGATACATCCTTGATTTTTAAAATAGACAAACATTACATTAACTATGTAATGTCTAAGGTAGTTTATGAGTTTAATGCTAACAATTTATTAACATTTATTAACAAATCATTAAAGACAAAATGTGTTAAATTTTAATTACCTAACGTAAAATCGACTAGTCCAAGAATAGAAATAAACGGAGAAAAGTTAGACCTTGTTAATAAAGTAATCTTCTTGGGAGTGACCTTAGACAGTCAATCCTCCAATGGTTTCTATCTTCCCTGACCAGCAGATTAAGCTCTGCTGCATACGCAGTCCGCAGAATACGTGAGCTTACCGATGTTAGCACTGCTAGACTAGTTTACTTTAGTTACTTCCATAGTATAATGTAAAGCGGCAGATATTCAAACCATATTTGTATTGCAAAAACGAGAGTTTCGTTCTGTGTACCGTCTAGGCTGTCGGGTTTCTCTCAGAGAAAAGTTTAAGGAGACTGGTATCATGACTGTGGCATCACAGTACATTTACTCAAATATTTTATATGTCCGTAAAAATATACATAATTTCAATAAGAAAGTAGATATCCATAATATTAACCTTAGAGCTAAGTCCAAACTCATGATACCACGATTTCGTTTAACCAAGGTAAACAACTCTTTTATGGGGAACTCTATACGTTTTTACAATAAGATTCCGGAGCATATTTAAGTTTATCATTTCCTAAGTTTAAAAACTACATTAAAAATATTTTGATCGAAAAATTATATTACAACATTAAAGACTACGTGTTACATAAAGATGTAAGGAAAGACGACACAGCTCCAGAATCCACACAAATTTGATTCAAAGTGTATTCCATAGCATTTAAGTTTATTTGAAAAGAGCAATCCCTAGAGTTTCTTGCTCGTTCTTCACAGGGAGGTCAGCGAGTGAACGAGCAGTAGCTTAAATGTGACGTTTTCAAGTGTAAATTTATTTTACCTATGGAATAAATAATCTTTGACTTTAACTTTGATTACTTGATGGATACTTTCTAGGAAACGTCCGTGGTACTGGCATTCTTTAAAGTCGAGAATGTTCCGCACAAGACAAAGGAAAGTGTCTCAGCCGATAAAAGCACTTTATATCATCGCTCACACAAGTGTTAAGTTTTATTATGTTAGTTATTTTATATAGGTATTACGTTTTTAATTTGTTTTATTGGAAATGAAACTTGTTTTTTTCGGATCTAAAGCACGTACAATCGTGCGTAGCGTAAACTGAAACGCTCGTTGGTAAATTAAAAATAAGTTATTTAGATTAACAACTTTTGTGACTATATTGTTCAGAATAGGGTGCAAGGGCATTAACTTTAGACGTAACTGATTGATGACTTTACTACCGTAGTCAACCGTGACCATGAGACCTGTAAAGGGCCCGAAACGTTGGTTTGTTTAAAAAACAAATATACGCGATTTAAACCCGGAAAAATAGTTTCATTTCTATTCATTATTATTATTAACCCACCGCGACGGCCTCCGTGGTCAAGTGGCTTGCATATCGGTTTTCATGGTGTCGCCGTCTCTGAGGTCCCGGGTACGATTCCCGGGTAGAAATTAATTTTTCTATATTGTCTCGAGTCTGGGTGTTTTTGTGGTGCAGTCGTTGTTTACTTTGAGATCAGAGCAACGTATGTGGTGTTGTCTAATGTTTATTTTATTTATTTATTTACATATACGTCCCACTTCTTGGCACGGGTGTCCTCTCAGGCGAGGGCTTGGGCTATAGTCCGCCACGTTGGCTCAATGCGGGTTGGTTTTCCGAGGGTTGTCATCGACGTGTCATCACGATGTAACACGGCCTTTGTTTGAGAGGCAGTAGGCAGTAGCTTTTTTTTCAAAGGCCTAGCCTCCTAATTATAATAATGTACCTGACCTAAGAAGAAGGAAATATTATGGCTTTTGTCTATCAAAAATTAAAAGTATGACCGTGTGTGACAAATGTAAAAATCGCAACAAAGAAGCGGATACTTCACTATAATCGCTACGCTGATTTAATTCATCATCAAAAGTCTTGTCCAGAATGTATTTATTGAAGCGACTGTCCTTTCGTATCATTCGATAAGATACTGATTTTCTATATATACATTATCATTCAGATTCGCTTTATCATTCAAGTTTCTCATAATCAGTGTCGTGGTGTGGTTTTTCGGAGAAATATTGTTCTTGAAACTTTTATACAATAATCAAATTTGTATTGTCGTATTTTTGTTAAAACAAAGACCTTTTAACGTAAGTATATATATTTTTTTTATAATGCACACACTCAACATAGCTCCGCACTAGAGAAACCCTGTGACGCGGGTGCCATGGACACACACATAGACAGTCACAAATGACGCCCAAACTCACGAGAGAAATAAATGTAGGTCATACAAATATCTGTACCGGCCCGGGAATCGAATCCAAGATCTCTGCGTGACAGGCCAGTATGGTAACCATTCTGCCAAGTAGGGTGGTAAGTACAGGCTTTATTTATCCCTTATTGGTTAGTAGTCGGGCTTTTTTGTTTTGGTTATTGGCTAAAGACGAACTCGGCGGCCCAACGGCTTGCACTGTGAGCGCTGAATGAGTAGGTCCCGGGTTCGATTCCCGGTAGGGCCGATTCGGGAAATGTTTCCTGAATTGGTGCAGGTTTGGGAGTTCTGGGAAGTACCCCGGAGTGCACTAGGAAAAACTCTGTGTCACATATTTTACATATTTCTCCCGGCCTGGGAATCGAACCCAGGACCTCTGCGTGGCAATCCAGCATGGTGAGACAGTATAAAAATAAAACTCGTGTTTTACAAATACACGTATTTATCTTAAAACCTCTAGTGGTCTACACTCTTGGGTTTCGCCATCGACACGACGCTGTAAGCTTTTTTAACATATAAGTCTATACGCTTAAACGTTTCTCTAAACGATTTTGTAAGCTTCAAACTAAAAAGCGTAGTTAAAAGCGTTTAGAAAAGCACGTTTTTAAAAATAAAACACGACGGTTTAACGTTTAAAAAATTAGCACTTATTCCACTCTCTACGGCTCAGGCGGCCGGCGGCGGTTTATTTTGTTTATTAGCGCCATCTATTAAGTAATAGTTCATAAATTGGATTGTAACATGCAATGCCATCTATTGAAATGCACATTTGGCAAAGTTCAGAAAATAATTTTAGCTCGTGGTGAATATTTGAATAATATTACAAAGAAATAATCTCAGTAAGAGTACTAAAAAAACCGACCTCAAAAATACGTGGAATTACATATAATTACCAAGATTTATTGAAATCGGTTACCGAAAAGTGCGCAAACCCGGATTCATCCCCTAGTTCGCCACTATACGGAACTTGACACAGGAGATAATAAAAATCGGTTCTCACTACTCAAAGTATATTGAGAGAAAAACGCCTTGAATTAGAGAATAGCAAAATCAGGCATTAAAATAGTTGCTTCTTATAATATAGGCGCTGTTTATAAAATGAATCTTCGTGCGTGAACAGCCACTCTTAGAGGTGGATGATTTTCTTCAAAATTAAATGGGACCACTATGGAGGTACTCTCTTTCCAACAAAAAAAGAACCATGAAAATCGGTGCACAAATTCCGGAGTTATCGCGTAACATACATACAAAAAAAAAGAAAAAAAGAGCGAGCGAAGAGAGTCGATTGGAGAACCTCCTCCTTTCTTTTTTGAAGTCGGTTAAAAACTGATTACTTATATTTCACTATTAAAGATGTATTAATTGACATGCACTGCCATTTAATAGTATAAACTGATTCCAGGCTATCGATCAGCACCATCTGGATATAAGACGGAATATTGACCTTTTTAATTAACGGACTTCAAAAAAGGAGGAGGTTCTCAATTCGACCGTATGTTCTTTTTTTTTTTGTTTTTTTTTTGTATGTTTGTTACGCGATAACTCCGGTATTTGTGAACCGATTTTCATAATTCTTTTTTTGTTAGAAAGGGGGTACTTCCATAGTGGTCCCATTTCATTTTGAAGAAAATCATCCACCTCGAAGGATGGCTGTTCACGCATGAAGATTCATTTTTATAAATAGCGCCTAACTTTAATTTAGGAGCAATTACTTTAATGGTTGATTTTGCTATTACTCCCATTCAAGGCGTTTTCCTCTCAATATACTTTGAGTAGTGTCGTAGTGAGAACCTATTTTTCTATCCTCTTCGGTTATTGGTCCATGGCGTTACCTCATTATAGGATTTAGGACAGCACAATTTAAAGACTATCTTTTCTAGACACTACGGCACGCAGGAGAGAGCTGGTGTTACCACAAATACAAAATTATTGTATTTAACAATGGGAAGCCGTGAACAGGATCTTAAAAGCACCGTAAGGGAAATGAGCGATCGGCTGGAACAGGAATTGAAAACTATTACTAAAGGTAATAACACATAATAATAACGCGGACACACTCATAGCCCTGCACCAGGGAAACCCTGTGTCGCGGGTGCCATGGACACACACATAGACAACCACAAATTACACTCAAACACACTAGAGAAATAAATGTAGGTCATACAAATATTTCTCCCGGCACGGGAACGGGCAGTCCGACATGGTAATCGTTCGGCCACGGAGGCTGTTAATTATTAAGTATATTAACGGACGCATGGAACTTGTCAACTTATGTCGCAGGGTAACCGACGCAGTGGCAGTGCCACTCAAGTTGTCGCGATTTAAAGCTCTGAGTGGCACTGCAACTCTTACTGCTAAACACATGACTTGTTCATCCCGTCACAATTACTGTATTTCCAGAATTTCGATAAACTACACTTGCCACTGGCCGTCTTGTGGAATTTTAAAGAATTAATTTAGATACATAGATAGATAGATTCACTGATATAACACAAATTAAGCATAAAAGAAAAAACAAAACATGATTGTCAGAGGCGCCCGAGGCGCAAGTTTTCAGTCAGGACCAACAAAAGGGATTAAGTTATTTGAAAGCAAAAATATAACGACTATTCGTAAACTTATACATGGACTATAATAATATACGTAGTAATGTTTCACACCTGTTTCACATGTAAGTGCATGAGCGAATTTGAATATAATTACAGCTGTAGGAGTAAGTTGTGACTGTAAAGCGGTTGATAGAATTTGATATATTTAAAACACAAACTACGCCACACACTGTTCCAAAGTCCCGTCAGATCAGCTATTTCGAGTGACACTTAGCAAGTGATGTTTTTAATATACCAAACCACAGAAAATGTGTCCGTCTACCAAACGCAGGATGAAAACTCCCATGTGCCAGCTTTGTATGGTTTAAGGTGAATTTAAATAAATATTAGACAACATTACATAGATCCGTTGCTCTGATCTCAAAGTAACTATTGCACATTGTATTATGGAAATAGGAAGCAATGACGGTACCACAAACACTCAGAACCGAGACAATATTGAATTAGTTTCTATAGTGACCAGGCCGAGGACTGCACCCGGAACCTCAGAAATGGCGGCACCATGAAAACCGGTGTACAAGCCACTCGACAGAGGTCGTCAAAGATTCGTCAGAGAATTACACCCAGTGGCGGATTTGCATTTTATTGCCAACTTTTACCGAAATCTATTCAGAAATTTACTGTTTAATATTTTTCTAGAACATTGATTTGATATATCTCTGTTAGTTTACGGGACGCACCCGAGTAAAGCGCCCAGATGGCATGATTTTTTCCGACATCTTCAACATTTATCGCCATATTTCAACCAAATTACACAAAACCTAAATAAATTACACACTTAAACCTCATGAACTACTCAGCCTATTGGTGGAAACCGCATGAAAATCCGTTCAGTAGTTTTTGAATTTACCTCGATCAGACAGACAGACGCGGTAGTGATATAGTGATTATACCTTTTTATGTGGTCTGTGGATTATACATTACATTATAGATATGTAACATGTCTATATTTGATACATAAAATGTACGAAAGTGATTTGGGAAGATAATTGTTATACGATGCGGCGTGTGAGCGTTTAGAACATTTAGGTACTTTGAGTTATTCCCTAGTCCCTGGTTTACAGGGCTTTAGGGCAAATCCATCACTGATTACACCGCAATAAACGAAAATGTAACACTAAAAAATTAATATCAAACAAACTAATAACTTTTTATTCGCAATTGCCAACTAATAACGTTGACTTAATTTACCGTTACAGGTTTACAAGGTTTACATCAACGATTAGACCAAATAGAACTCAGTCTAAGATCTCGAGAAGGAACTGCGCCAAAGGACGAAGTTGTTGAAGCTAAAGCTGTTAAGCCAGATATTAGACTTGGATTGTCTAACCCAGGAACTTCTACATTTACTTCTAATGCTAATTCAACACCTTTTTTGAAATCCCCTTGCTACGTGAACTGGGTTCAGGAAACACATGGAGGTCTAAAAGAACTACAGCTCGTTAACTTCAATGACTTGGTCACGACTATAGACGATATTCTTATGAAAGCGAATGTAATTCAAACTTCTGGCACTGAATTTTCAATTGATGAGATGTCTACAGCTAGAAAAGCAGTAAGAGAGCTCGATGTATCGAAAATAACAAAATTTAAACGATTCCCTTCAAATGGTAACTTTATAAATATTAACCCAAATTTTGAAAGGAATGCTGAACTGAAGAAAATGTTAACAGCTACGGACGTGTCGACTTTTAAAAAAGCGGCTTTAAATTATCGCAATAATATTTTGAAACCCGAAAATACAATGGATCAGTGCTCATTTGAAATTTTACACAATTTGGCATGGGTACTACCAAGGTCACGACCGACTGAAATAACAAATACAAGAGGCTCAGAGCCGAATACATAATTTCAATTTCAAAGAACACTATATTGCCGACGACCTCAAGGACTATATGGACATGGAACGCGAGCGCAGGGCACTGGCGGTGAGGACGAAGATGCTGGCTCGCCGGTTTGCTTGATGTAAGGCAGAGTGAAGGTCACACTTTTTAGAGCCTATTGCTATATGCTCTGCGGGCCAGCTATACCCAAAGCCTGCTCAGTGCCCTGCGTACGTATTATAATAACGCCTTCACGACGCTGCTGCAGCTGCCTTGGTTCTGCAGTGCGTCTGCCATGTTTGCTGAAGCTCGCGTCAACAGCTTCACGCTATTCTTACGGAAGAAGTAGGCGTCTTTATTAAACAGAATAAGTGGCAGCAGCAACAGCCTACTGAAGACTATCGCGGATAGGAGTGAGTGCCCCGTGATGCGGCACTTACTACAACCACAAAGTCCGTTGTAGAATTTAAGTACTAACCTAATTACAAGCTATTTTTGTTACTAGCACTTGATGGGTCCCTGTTGTCCGTAATAAAGATTTATTATAGTAACATAGTAGATTTTATTTTAAGAAGGTACTGGTTTCCTTGTATCGCCTGTATTAACACTGATTTGGTCTTTTATGGAAATGTGAAATATCTACTGTTGTATGATTTTCATGTTCATTTATTTGCGTTTCACATGGATGATAAAGTTATACATGTGATACCCTCTAAGCGTGTAGCAAAGTTACAATGGAATTTAAATACATTGCAAGCTTGAACGTAGTTAATTAGTTTAGATGATTAATTATAATATTGATTAATTATTAATAAACCTCATTATTATATAATATTTTTATCTTAAAATTAATTAAATTATTATTTTTATAATTATTAAACATTTTTATTACTATTACGTTTACTTTTAATTTCATTTATTGCAATTCACATTTTAATAAACTTAGATACATATATGTGATACCCTGTTATGGCGTAACACAATTTAAACAAACCTAATGATACAATTATTTCAATATATTATTATGTTATAATATATATTATTCGTACACTTATTTATAATAATATTTTTTATTGAATTGTATTTTCAGTTATTAGCTAAATTTCATATAGACATGAAATCAATTTCAAATACATTTATCGCCAAAAAATTCATATTATAATAGGTTTTTTTGTTTAGAAATTCTTTAAACGTTTTTCAAAGACCGTATCTTTATCCAAATTTTAGATATAATTAGGGATGTGGTTATATACTTTTATTAACATAGGGAGTGGTGCGCAAGAAAATAATTTTGGGCAAGAGGGAGAAGTTTAAGCTTGTTATGGTAACTTTTTACGTTTTATTAATTTTAACGGAGAGTATAAATCTGCGTGTTTTTTAATGAACTTACGTTACGTTAGAGTTAGTATGTTAAGTTTTGTAAAACATGGTTTACAGGACTCTGTTTGTTTTATGTTGGTTAATATTCTGATAATTTTTTTTGTAGAACAAAAATTTCTTGACAATACGAGCTGTTGCCCCACAGTATAATCCCATAGGCTAGTCGCGAGTGGGCAAACGCATAACAATTTGAGAGGGCCGTTTTTAGGTCAGTAACACGTTTCATATATAAGTGAAGATAAACGGCTAGATAATTTTTGAATATCGGGTTTCTAATTTATGTGTGTATCTATTGCGATACACACATAACATAGGTAACATAGTTGCCGAATCTACCATTTCTAATTTGTTTGATTTATATATATACTATATAGTTGTTATACAAAGCAATTTTTTGGTGAGGTTTAAATTGAATTAATTTTGTTTTTCTAAATTTAGTTGTAGGTTATTTTGATCGAGCCATTCTGTGAGTGAACCCAATATCGCATCTAAGTCCTTCTGTAGTGTAGCAAACAGTATACTATCGAAAGGAATTGTCAAAAGTGAGGAAGGTCATTTACGTACACAAGAAACAGAATGCAGCCCAACACGCTTCCCTGAGGAATAGAACCAGTGATAGAGATGACATTTAGGCAAAATGATTTGTTGATTGGGCGACTGATGGGCAGAGCGGGTATCTGAAAACAGAACTCATCCATTAGAGCGTCCGACGTCAGGTGTCATCTTAAACTGGCCTTCCTTTTTAGGCGTTAACTGCCTCCGTGGCCGAACGGTTACCATGCCGGACTGCCACGCAGAGGTCCCAGGTTCGATTCCCGGGCCGGGAGAAATGTTTGTATGGCTTACATTTATTTCTCTCGTGAGTTTGGGTGTAATTTGTGGTTGTCTATGTGTGTGTCCATGGCACCCGCGACACAGGGTTTCCCTAGTGCGGGGCTATGTTGAGTGTGTGCGTTATTTATTTATTTTATCTGACATGCTCAATTTCGCCTGTATGAAAGTTAGTGTTTTCAATTTCAACGCGTTGGGATCGATTTTATATTGTAGTTCGTAGTGGTCCCCAGTGGGCGCCGAGGAGTCCTAGGGCGATAGGGCCTCGGAAGCAATTGGGAACGTTGATGCTGTCCAGAGTCTGCTACCTACCGCATTTGCAGAAATTATCTATTTACGGTACACTACATACATATATAATTTTTTCCTTGTGATTTTTTATAATAAGTTAATATAAAAAATACTTGTCTTCTATTCTTTTTTATAGTAGTGGGCGTTGAAATTTTTTAATCTTGCCTAGGTGGGCGGTGAGCTTAATAGTTTGGGAACCGATATTGTAGTTTGAAGGTTTAAAACATATTTTTAAGTTTATCACATCTTATTCCACTTTTACTTTTAGAGTCCATACTACCTAAGCTAGAATATTTCCCGTTCTGAATCGGTTCTATTGCTTGGGTCGAGGGACAGGGACACTGGCTTTATTTCAGTATTTATGTTTTTACAAACGACATTAAAGCTATTTTGATAAATATATCGTACTTATAGTACAGTATTACGTGTTCTACTTAGTTCAGTTGATATTAAAAAAAAGTACCTATTGAATACAACGGGTTTCTTGTAAAATTTCAAGGTAAGTTTGTTTTGTATCGTGAAAATTTGTAGGCATATACTAATCAGTGAATTAAAAATAGAATGAATATTATACATTATACAATCTAATATAATAATATAAAAACATGATAAGATAAAATAAAATAATGTATTATATAATAATAATAATTTTTGACATAATATGTACAATTTTTCAAAACAAAAAGAAAAAAAAATAAATTTTCTTTTACAAAATTCTCCTTGCTTTGGCGCCATTTTAACAGTAACAATGTTTTTATCGATTACCTGCGAGACAGGCTTTGCCTAGTGCAGGAATCGTAGGAAATTCTCTGTACGCGATATATGCTACAATTGAGTTGTGTTACCTGGTTCTTTGTCGTAACTAAATTGTAATGTACCTGCACAAGTTCATTTGCAAAATAAATTATTTTGTAATTTTATTGTATTTAAAAAAAATTCAAAAAGTCCTCAATTTCTACATATTTTTTCCAAAGTGCCTGCTTCAACACTTTCGCTGTTATGCGGAATCAATCGTAGCCATTTGAGGTTGTTTGGTGACTCTAAGGGCATTTGCGATATGAAAAAAGTGTTGTGAAAGGGTTTGTCTGAGTCGTTTTCAGATAACCTCAACAAATGTGTCCCTTTCAATAACTTTTGTATTATTTACTTAGTCTGTGTTACACATAAACATACTACTTCACTAAGCCACAGCAATAAATGAAAATTAAAAAAGTGGGTAATTTCTCATTCATCGGAGCCGGTTCCACGCTCCCTAATTTCAAGAAATGAAAAAAAATAGTAGTAGAAAAGTAACTTTCCAATTGATTACAATCTAATATGTTTTCTTGGGAATACAAAATGTGTTCAAATTTTTCTTATCATTAGTGTTACTTCAACTAAAAACCGCCTAATAACAAAAGTCATACCCCCTCACCTTCACCCTTCGCACACGTGGGAAGGGGCTCCTATCGGATAGGAGTGTACACAATCTTCGTTTTAGGAAAATATCGACTTAAATACCAATTTCAGCGCTTGTGACTAAATCGTTCTCATTCATGTCAAAGCAATCTATCTAAATAAGTATTATGTTAGTCTTATAAACGTTATTGTACATCAATTAGACAAGGGAACTTTAAAATCCCCGCTATTTTATAACTGTCCAGAATATTCAGTAATACTTTAGGCTTTAAAAGCAGTCAGTGTACGTATGTATGAACTTATAAAAATTGACAATGTAGATGAACCTGTGTCCAGCAATTGGATGAATAAAGGGCCGATGATCAACCAAATCAAACAAGCTATTTATTGCATAAGCGTGACCAACATCCAGTCGATAGTCGATAAAATATTCATCGACTGCAATCACTGGCTGCTTGCAAGCGCGCAACACTATGAAATGAGCTGTCATTTTATTCCATCTTCAAAAAAAAGACGACTATACTCATTGACTTACAATTATAAAAAAAAAATAAATAAAAAAAAAAATAAAAAAATAAAATGCATTTAATTCGGACAACAGTGGATCCATAGAATGTTAGTATTACAAACAAACTTATTTAACTATGTTAGTACGAAAACTTAAATGAAGGGAGGACCAGTGTCTAAATAGACCGCTGTCCCACCTATCAGCTACTCCATTCAGGAGTCTGTGACGGCTAGCGCATACCCTACGCATCGATGCGGCGCAGCGCTTGCGCAATGTCGCACCAAAACCGTCTACACTCGCGTCCGCAAACATTCCGGACGCGCTACAGTATCGCGGCAGCCGTAACAGAATCCTGAACGCGTCATTGTATAAAACACGCATTGTGTTGTATGAGCGTTGGGTGTACCTGCTCCATAAACTGCAGGTATACAGCGATGTACAGTACGCTTTAAATAAAGTAATTTTAACTCGTACCGTACATCGACTGAACCTGCACGCCAACATATTCGCTCTTATAGACAGTGCTCTGCGTTCCCTCTCAATGTCCGCGTCATCACGTAAATCATCCGTTACCAAATGGCCAAGATATTTAAAGGAGGTCACCATCTTAAGATCTTGACCATTTAGCAGAATGGGAGGTACGTGTGATGGACATTTGCTTCCCGCCTTAAAAACCATACACTGACTTTTGAGCACATTGTATCTAAGATTATGCCCAATGGCATACGATTCGCAAATGCTAATAAGCATTCTCAAGCCACCAACAGATGGGCTCAGCAGCACCATGTCGTCGGCGTAACTTATATTATTAAAGCAGATCCTGTCTACGTGGCATCCGACATGCGTGCTGCTGAGCTCACCTATCAGGGCATCTATATGCAGGTTAAATAATTTCGGTGATGTCAGTCCCCCCTGCCTCACTCCACATTCCAAACCGTACTCGTCTGACAAGACGTCACCCCAACGGACACTATTTCTCTGGCCCTCATACCAACATTCGAATATACGTGTAAGTTCTCTGGGAATTTGGACCTCGTCAAGCTTCTTCCATAGCAGGTCGTAGTTAACGAGGTCAAAAGCTTTAGAGAGGTCTAAAAAACATGCGTATACAGGCGTTTTTCTACGGGTGTAATACTCAACAGCATGCTTAAGACATATGATTGCGCTCTCAGTAGATAAACCAGTTCGGAAACCAAACTGTGCGTCTTGTAAATTTACATATTATATGGACGTCGGGTCCGCGCTAAAAAGTGTCCGAACTTATAGGGCGTTAAAATCATATACAGAGCGTCATTCACGCTTTAGTTTTCGTTTGTTCACTGACAACGAAGCAAGCAAAATTAGACAGTACTGCGATGACATTACAATTTAAATTCAACGTTTTAGCTTTTTCATATTCCTTTACATGTCACTACGTTTAAATAGGTTGACTTGGGACATTTTTTTCGTGGTTTTTGTATTAGACCCGTCGTCCATTTATTTGTAAGTCAATGACTATACTACGCTATTACTTGGTAGGTCAATGGTTATTAGCATTATTTTCTATTTTTATTCCCTTCAATATTTTGATTGAAGGACTAAGTTATGAAATAAACAATAATTTTTATTAAAAAAAAAGGAACTTACTTCAAACTTTGCTTCTATGCATAATAAACTGAAAGTAAAAAGTTAACAATCGGTTACCGGTTAGTTTGCCACGCTAGTGGTAGAATATGTTCTTCAAGTTTATTTAGAATAGAAAAATAATCATCAAAATCGGTACATAACTGCCAGAGTTTACGTAACATACAAAAAAAACAGTCGAATTGGAAACCTCCTTTCTTTGTCAGCTTTTTATAGCACACAGAGGTCAACTACTTCAGTAATACTTTAGGTGGTAGGTACAAAATAGAAACAACGAAGAAAGGCTTAAAAATCATTTTTATTCGTAACTATCGTACATTAATAATTAATTATATCCATAATATTAATTATTATTTTTATTAAATACATGTAATAATTATTAAGGGTATGCTCCTCGATCGCACTCACAAGCGGTTATTTATATAAATGCAAATGCTTCTAAAAAGTATAAACAATGCGTTAACGTTTCCATTTATCGTTATGTAGATACTTGTAGCTGGACACATTACAGGTCAAAATACTTAGGTCTACCGAATGCTTACGTCATATCAACTATTGACCAGATTTGAAACAAAAATACCGTTGAGATAGATAAGCGCGTGCAAATCCGCCGCGTAATTTTATCACTAGTTTCATCCTCGGGTTGAGTTCACATTTGTATCATTTTTGCGTATCACTTTGTAGGTCATCAAGAACGCGTACCATACGACTAGTTTGTATTTGAAATTGTACACGATCGTGTGGTAGGCGCTGAGACTTGGTAGGTCAAATTGATACAAATGTGCGTCGGGCGTTTTAAAATTATGCTGCACGAAAATTTGGACGCACCGACTTCGCCTTAGGTACTAGTGACTTGAAACTTCTCCTTTCTAAGAGCCGGATGCTCATTAGCATACTAAGTCACCCCGACTTAATATCAAAACATTATACATTTGGTAGCAAATCAAAGTCACCACTGTTTTTACTACGTTTGTTGGTGATTACTTTAGGTATTACAGCATTTACGCAGAAATAATCACAAACAATCGTAAATATTTTAGAATCTTGGTTTTTTTCAAGTATATAACATAGACAATAACCATATTACGGTACATAACGACATATAACGAATTATAACAATATACAACGCAATATTTATACTTTTTTCCTACATACAAGACACGACTTCGAAATCCAGCAAACAATGAAGCTCTAAAATTTAATTTTTATATGAATTTTGAAGTCTTTTTGCATGTATAATTTTGTTATTACATACACGATGTTGTTTTTAAAAAATGCTGCATGTAAAACAAGTCAGATTTTAATGTAAAAATTATACCAAAATAAATAAGACAAATAAAAATACAACAAGTTCGACATTGATCATATTGGCTCCATGTACAGTACAGTAGTGTAAGTAGCCTTTTCTTTGATAGCTCGTCCAATCAATGTGACGTATGTAAATAGGTTAACAAAATCGATCGATGTGAACAATGAAATTACAATAAATAATAAATAAAATGTTCTGATATATTATATATTATTATTGTTCGTCAGGACAGGGAACGATAATGTGTGACTGTGGTGCGTGGTGCCAATATGACTGAAAAGACTACATAATAAACTTTTTGAAATAAAATGTATTCAGCGTTCGCAATTATAAAATGAGATTCTGCAAAATATATATATTTTTACACCAAAATCTGTATTAACGTAATTTTAGGATATTACAAAAAAAGAGTAAAATAAAAATAGGCATTATAGAAAACACAATTGCTTATGATTAAGGTTATAAGAAAAAAAAAGAAAGATTGTATTACTTTGTATGTTGAAATATGTTTACATATTTTTGTCAATTATCAATTTACAAAAAACTTTTACACTTTTGACTTTTGATACTCGTGCTCGTGTTGCCGATACGCGAAATTAGTTTACAGCAGGTTCAAATTTAAACGAATGTTTTCAAACATCTTTGGTTTGGTTAGACATACAGTGACAAAAACAACTTATTGTTAAACACACATCGACTTTCTTGAGGCTCTGTAATGCAGGGTACACGTTTGTATTCAAATTTATGTATCATATCTATGTATTTCATGTCAAATGTAGCTGTTGTTGAACGCGTATCACACGCGTCGATGATACGCCACGGTGATATAATAAGTGTAGATCCACATTATAAAGTCTATTTTTTTAACATGTATTGAAGAAAATCTAGCAAAAAAAATAAGTGGCTGAAGGCAAGCGTCACATTATCCCTTTCGAGGCAAATAAACGTAATTTACAATTTATCGAAAATTAGTATTTTAAACATAGAACATGAAATTCTTAATCGAACTAGGTAAATTACTATTTGTCGACAAAATTATAGGTTGCGCCCATTTGTATCGAAAGTGAGACGATATCTAGACGCTGTACTTTTACTACGTACTTTTTACAATACTTATTAAGACCGAGTAAATTTAAGCGTGCGTAATTTCAGCTACGTTTGTCGCAAGCCGAAAAGATGCAAATGCGATACGGCGATAGTTCATTCAAAAATATGTACACAGTGTTCGATGCTAAGAGAAAGATATTTTGGAAGCTACACGAACACACCACTCACTCAGCACAAGAAAACAGTACTTTTACAAAATATAAAGAAATATATCGCTGCGAAATATTACGATTCTTACATCGAGACGAACAATAATAACAATATTACTAGTCTCGGTGTAAGAATAGTCGGAAAAGAAAGGGTAACAAGAAACTTGGCGTATTGTATCCAAGTAGTATATCATCGACGCGTATCACTTCGATTGGAAACTAGCGATTGCGATACGCGTCTATGATACGCTACGTAAATATAATAATCAAAATTTATACGTAACAATGCTTTGCGTTCTTTCCCATTATAAAGACTGGCCAGTTGTTATTGTAGTCTGAAACTGTGGTGCGTATAGAAGAAATTACTTTGAAATTTCACAAAATGGCGAGAGCGACAATCTGTCTTAGGCCACAAATTTGCAACAGCGCAGCGGTGCGTTCAAAGTTTGCGCGTACATTGTGCCTTGTGTTGGATGTATCAGCGCGCCAACCTTGAACGCCACGCTTGACGCGACACAGTTGCGAATTTGTGGCCTAAGCCTTTGGAATAAAAAAAGCACGTCACTCAACTTTAGTTTAATAACGCGTGTAAAATATACTGTATAGACATCGAACATCCGTTCCATAGCAGGGCGCGGATGACCTCTGTGTCAAGTCACACATTCAATATGTCTCCTTTGAGATTTTTTAAATTAATTATCACTCGCTATCACAGTGGAGGGAAAAACCTCATAGCGGGAAACGTCAAAACTGCTCGAAGGCTGTGTACAAACACGCGTGCTTAGCAAAGAAAAAATATACGAGTTAATATTACAAACAAAAAGCAACCCTAATGTTTTGCGTACCCTAACACTACGTCATACAAACAAAAAAATGAAATTGAAATACATAAAAAGGCGACTTTATTAATTAATAAACAATTTTAATTGTTTTTAATACACCAATTTCACTCTCGATTTTTCAAAATAGCTCCAAGAGCGTACATACACGATGTTACACGCAGACATTTCCTTTTTAATGAGTTATAAAATGAAAAAGCAAATCTCAACCATTTACATAAAATGTATATACACACAGATATTTACTACAACACTTTTTTTAATCATACAAAACCCTTCCAAGATTTAACATGAATACAAAATTTGTATGGAAACACGTCTAGTTAACAGAGAATGTTTATTAAACAAGCATAATTATTATATTTTTACACAAAATAGTTTCTAAGAAATCTTCATAAGTTCAACGAACATCTCTTTGGATACGAAGGAAGATCTCACGTTAGAAATACATCCATTCGAAGCAAGTTTTGTTATATAGTGACAAGTTAAAACATGTTAATGGCGCCGAGTACTGCTACCGCGAATTCAAACCTTTGAAACTAGCTATGGTTAACGGAAACGAGTAAGTCTTATAATTCATTCGACCACTCTGCCTAAGGATATGAATCTATTATCTAAATATTCGTCGAAAAATCTTTGATATAGCGTTTGATAATTATTCTAAACATTATGAACGTTGTTGTAATGTTGACCGCTTTGACCTACTGGGTGATATTCCGTTTAATGTACCTACGAGTTCTACGAGACACTATCACCTTATCACAGTTCCCTTAGCGAGGACTAATTATGGACAAAATACATTTCTATGTAGAGTTAGCAAGGGCTTGGATGGATGTTGATATATTTAATTGTAATATTGATGCGCTAAAGCGTAAACTCACGGACATTCTATTTAATTTTATTGAATAACTTGTGACTGTTCGTTTGTTTAATGTTCGTGTTTGATTTGTCTGAAGTTATCGGTAAGCTGTAACTTATTTTCCTGTTTTTATTAAATGCTAGAAGTAGTAGTGAAAGTTGTCAAAAAAAAAAAAGAAAAAGAAACCGTTTATTTTAACAAATAATTAATAAAACTTTTTTTATCAAAAAACCGACATCAAAAATTTGTGAATTAAATCTATGTGCCAAATTTATTGAAATCGGTTAACGGACAGTGAGCGAACCGGAATTATCCCTTAATTTGCAACTCTTAAAGGTGGAATATGTTCTTTAAATTTGAATAACACCACACAAAAACATTTTTTGCAGTCGGTTAAAAATATATGGTGCTTACAGTTGGGTAAGTCAGTTACTTTTCCAAGAACCGTTAAACCATCACTGACCACTTGACTATTAATATGAAAACGAATGTCAAGTTGTGTTGATGACGATATTAAATTTCTTGTCAGTAAAATGGACAGGGATTATGTTTGTGCATAATTCGAATTTCAGCGAGGGCTGTGTACACCTGCAGCCGAGTTATTTGCCCCATTATTATTGTATTGTTGCATTGCAAATCAAATAAAACTATTTTGATTCTTAGGTCCACTAGAGCCGTGGCAGGATGCGGCTTCTCAAGCCGAGAGCGTGGCTTCGAATCCGGATTCACCTCTGAGGAATTAGGAAATTAATTTATTAACCACGGGTTTTTTGCTGAAGGAAAACATTGTGATGAACCCTGCACGTCGAAGAAGGTTCACGACAACTTGAAGTCCCCAACCCGCAATAGACCAGCATGGCGGACTATGGCCTAAAACCTCGCCTGAAAGGAGACCCGTGCTCAGCAGTGGCAACTATAAATGAGTTGATGTTGTTGTCCGCGTCTCTACGCTGTGCAAACTTGTGATACTTTATTTAACAAACCTATAATTTCAACGTTTTAAACTCACGGTAGAGGTACTCCGTTACCGCGCCACGTTGTTTTAACTAGGAATTCGGCTTCCATTTTTACGCTACCTTTTTAATAAAACATCATAACTTGTTTACAACGTAACGAAAACAACGTTTTTGTACAATGCAACGAAATGTCTGACACAAAGGCACGAACACTTATCCACACATCAGGCTATACAAACTGTCATATTTGTCATTTATTTACGAAGTAGGGAGATGCCACACGCGCGTTGCGTCGTCCCAACTGCGTTGATTTCAACGGACTGAGTGCCACACGAGCTGTTCTGTTGACGTACGCTGTTTCTATTCATTTATATGTAGTAAGTACAACGCAGTTGCGACGATGCAACGCCCGTGTGGCATCGCTCGTACTCGTAAGGTACAATTAACAATAAAGAAATGTTGACAGTTTCGTATATCTTTGTGGACCACAGTACCAATAAAGGTTAAATAAATTATTCATACGCAAACACCCGAATGTCAATTTACAAAGCAATCGATGAAGAAAATTTAAGGTATGGTAACCCTGATATTGATTACATCACTTTCTTGAAACTACGTCTGATAAGCAGTTTGTGATAAGGGAAAAGCGACCATTGTTTCACAAAAATATGAGATAAATTGATTGAGTTCCTCCGCACTTCAATATTATTAATACAAAAGACCAGCGAGCGTGACGGACTATTACGACATTAGTAACTACCCCATATAGCCTCTACCGTAGCTTAAATTTTCTTCAATAAAATTTCGTCATACAATGTCGGCTAAAGCTAGGAGCGAATGCAGCGGAATTCGCGCCACTAAATTGCGCGTAATTCAGTTAACAAGATGTTGTATACTTTAACTAATAAATACACAATCAAGTCCTCGGTTGCTTTCATTTAGATGGAATGCATTACACAAATACGTTCAAGATTCTTTACATGAACATTCATACAAAATCACATTTTAAGCAAAATAATATTTGCCCGTAACAGCCTTAAGGTCAACTCACACTGAGCGACGTAAAACGAATGTATATAACGAGGACATCTACTAAACACTGATATTTGTAGGACTCAGTTTTTTGAGTAGTGCTCAATATATTTTTGAAATCAATATTCATGTTGTTCGTAGAATTTTTAGTTTTTCAGGTTACACACGCGCAACATGTAACTGGTACGATTATTATACAACATAGCGTAGAAGACAAGTGTAATTGGTATGATAATTACGCAATGTGGCGTAGAAGACAAATGTAACTGGTACGATCATTACACAATATGGTGCAGGTGATAAATGTAATTGGTATTATCATTACCATTATGCGATATGGCGATGGAATTTAACGGACTTTACCATGAAAAATGTGTAGAATCGGAATGTAGTCGAAGACTGGAATTGGTTACCGGGATTTTGCAGTACAAAATTAGTCACAACGTTTGGTGAATTTTGACAAGATTTTTAACAACAGTGTTAATTTAGTCGTAGGGTGAGATACAATGATAGCATTCAATTCAACTTGCCCTGACTGATCGACACGCCGAGAAATTGCGAAGTGGCTGTATTAGGTGCAAAATTGTGCAGACAACATCCGCCTGGATTTCTTTCACTTGATTCATAGTCTGAATCTAAGTCTAATCTGAATTTAGCAGCAGTAAAGCTCGTTGTGAAAGAATTTACCTTATCTCCATATATAGTATCTGCATTACGATTTAAAGTGTAAATTGTTAAATTACATCTATCTCTTTTCTACTCACAGTTATGTTAGTATGACTTTAACATATTTCTATTAATGGCAAATCCAGTATATAGCTCAAAAAATGTACCAAGAATAATAGGGCATTTACGGACAGATGCGATTGGAGGAGGCGAAAAAGATTTGACAGGAGCGAAGGGGGAAATGTCCATGTTCATTATTCAAATGGGAGACAGGCGTGACATAATAATATGTCAGACAACCACATCAACCACCTAGAACAATGGAATTCACTCCGGCGCATTACCTAGAACATCCTGACCAAAATTAATTTAGAAAAGTTTACTTCCAAAAGTGGTACTATCGGGAATCGAACCCGAGACCTCGCCACCCCACAATGATCATCGAATGTACGTACGTTAGTGAACAAACAGTGGAGATTTGCTTTGAAAACAAAATCAGTTGTTCCATTATCGAGTTTTGAGAGTCCCTAGGATCAAAATTGGTTCCATGTACTTTCCATTGAAGTTGTTGGAGTCTAAACAAGAACGACGACAGAAGATCCAAAGACCATAAACTGAAGTGCATACGGACTGACCTAAATAGAAAGAGATAAAGAAAAAAAAATGGACGCCGTTACTAAATTATGAACTGACAAGGTCTAAAGAAATTATACCAAACGATTTGAAACCAGTGTCTTCCATACGATTCCCTCCTTCCTTTCAATAATTTAAAGCGACCTTTCAAAGCGCGGACTCTCGTGTCAAATCAGTGCGTTTCTATTTACGCGAAAATGAATACATATTGAAACCTGACAGAATCTAATTCACTAATAGAATTAAGATGTGAAATCTTGAACCGAAAACGCTTTGCCTTGAAATATTCGCCAATTCAGTTAGTTAAGAGACGTACCGAATGGCAAACTGTAGGATCCAGGTTTTATGTGCTACCTGTATAAACCATTCACGTGAAGATATAGCGAAGCATCTTTTTTTAATTTTGTTTTAATTGTTTTTACTTATTGTTCTTGAAAATTTTATTAAAATCACACTAACACCGAATCAAGCTACAAAATACAATATCCAAATGGCGACATGTAAAAAACCTGTACATACATACATCGAACGTGACAATACACCGCGTACTACCTTAGCTTACTGCCTTTAGGATGCAATTTTGAATGACATTCGCACCTATAGTTATGATTGTAAACCATCTCTGATTGGTGTTTGGTTTATTCCAAATTTGAAGATTTCGTTGGTATGATATCATTGGTAGTTCTATATAGGATCTCCAATTGGTGCGCTTTTAGTTCCAAATTTGAATAGTGAGTTTTCATTGGTGCATCAGTTCTGTGCTTGCCAAGTTTGACGTTATATTAAAAAATTGGTTCTCTATGAATGGAATCAAGGAATTTCATTTAAAATTGCTCCTATCACTTATCTAACGCCTTATAAAATATCTTTCGACGCGCGCGTTACCATTCTTTGCCCTTTTTCTAAATAAAGAAAAATAAAATGTCTTTTGTCATTTCCGGGGGAAAAAAATAAACAAAATTTAACAGTCATTTTCATTCGAGACTAGATTTTTATTAGGAGTTATTTTATTAGTAATTTGTTTTGTTTGTAATTTACAAAATATATAATATATTAAATTTTGTTCATTTTCCTGTATGCCACGATTTTGTTACATAATTTTTGCTATTATTACTTCATAATAAGAATGAAACAAGTTAAGAAAAACAATATTAAGTAAACTTAAGATAAACAGCTCAATAGGGTTTAACAAACGTTTGAGATTCTTTAACAATGAATATTTCGCTACAATACAGGGTTATTTTTCCAATATACCGAAGCCATAGGCAATTCAAAAACAAACACAATTTTTGTATGTTTTTTGAAAATCGATAGAAAGCCGATGCAAGTTTGTTGAAGTCTAAAAAATATTATTGTCGGTACGAACGAAAATCGAACAAAGAACAACTCCTGCGACACAACTAGATTCTTACTAGACCGATACAGAGAAATTCTTACGGTCTGCTGATTAGATCCGTAGAATAGTTGGGAGAGCGGTTAGCCCCGGGCTAGTAAACAGTCGCTGGTTCGAATCCAACTGGATCGAAGGAATATTTCTTTGTTTTTTATAGATATTTCTACAACAAATATCGATCGACAATAATAATACCAAACTAGTAGAGTATTTTAACAAAAAAATATATGTATATCATGGCAGTTATTAAAATATAAAGATCGAACACAGACAAATTCTTTCGACACAACTGGACTCGAATTTGAGACCACGGGATTACGTGTCATTCTACATAGCCATGACGCCCTACTTTTTTTATTCTGAAGGTACTACTATTAAATTAAAAGAAAGGAAACAACGGTGGCGTTGCTACGGAAAATTCTTTGTAACCATGCCACCCATTATTAATACTGGCAAATGCAATTTTAGCTATTTTTCTGAATTTAGCCAATGTACAAACGTAGTGTATTATGTACATACATTTGAAGGCGCTTGAAAAACCTAATATATGATGAATGAATGCTAGGAAAACCACTGCATTTTACTGCTATTTATCGATTATTAATAATTATAACAAAGTAGTGGAGCAATTTCACAAAACATATTGAATATCATGATGGTTAAATATTCTGACATTCAATAAAAATGTAATAGTAGTACATTCATAAAAAATACATGTACATCATGTACGTTAGCAGTACATTACAGTGGGTAATATCATATTAAAAAATATATAGGGTGGTGTGGCCATATAATGACACGGGATTCCGTCCCCATCGATGTTCCAACTGAGCTACAGGTCGAGTGTCTAGTATAGATATATAAAAACAAATCAATACCATCATGATGGTTAATAAAATTAATATCAAAAAATTAATGCCGGAATTTTCGTAAGCCGTAAAGGACTCGAGTCGTAGTTATCGGTCACTGGTCATTTGAGGTTACAGGTGCATTAAAAAAAATAACCCTGTACAAACCGAGATGGTGGACAATTACAAGTTGACAAGTTACTATTGAACCCTGAACGAGGCGCTGGTATTCTTATGTAAAGGATTTCTTTAGCAAAGCCGTATCACGACAAGGGTCCGAATTTAACATCGTCAACTCGATAAATGTATACATTGACAAGTTACTGCAGAACGTTAGCTACGTGGGTACTTAAAAAATCGTTATTGATCTGAAAACCATAAATCCTGCTCAAGTAACTGAATAACTAGACTTCAAAGACCACTTTCCATACAAAAAAAAACCTTTAAACCGAAAAATGTCGACTCGTGGACCTCAGAAAAAAGTGTTTCCTTGTTTGTTTCGTTCGAGGATTTGAAGGTTCGCAGACGAATAACCGTGTCAAAGTCACCGTACGCAATAGTAAAGACGTAAAGAAAACCAAACCTCTCGCCCCCTTCGTCGCGACCAGAGAATCAGTGGGCTCGGGCACGGGCCGCCTAGGCCCCGGTCTGCGTGCCGCGGGTGACGGTGCGCGCGCGCCGGCGCCGCCGCTACGAGTGCGCGGGCGCCGCGCCCGCGCGCATGGCCTCCTCGCGCTGCTTGCTGATGTACACCTGCGCAACAGTGCAACAGTGCAACACATGGCTGATCTAACCGGCGAGAGGGTTTCGGGCGCTTTTACTTTTTGATGCGGCCGCGCTTTGCAAATATATTCCTTCTTTTAAATCCCGTGATGCCGTAACGTACGATTTCATTATTTCATCTACACACATGTCATAAACTCTCTATAACGCGTTCAAAAACCGCAAATTACGACCAACATAAAGGTAAACTATTTTGTTAGAACAAATTTCTTATCTGGGAAAATGTTATTGTTGATTATTAAAAACATCGAATTCGATGTTACTATTACATTCAAATTTCGAACATCTCTGAAAAGCAAAACAATTTGATGGACCTCAATTCTAATACCAGTCGAGATGAAGTTTTATTCGAAATGAAATATCAACAGCAAACTATTTTCACAATTTCACACGTTACTTGATATCGAACGATATGATAGTTGGGGCCGATTCTAGTTTGTCTATTAACTAAAAATAAAAATTACGGTTGTGTGAAAAATGCTGTTCCTGAATACACCACAGAGAGCTTATAATATGTGTGTAGATAATAAAACAGTGTATGTAACTGTACATAATTAGGCATTAAAAAATTCGCCTGCCTTCTCGTTTCATAAACCCACATTCGTATTTTAATGCCTTCCATTATTTAACAATCACATAAACTACTATTATTTCAAATGTATAACATTTTGTTTCACTACATATAAATCTTAAATAAAAAAATATACGTACGTGCAGAAGCCGGTATTTGCTGACGCTGAGATGCTTGAGGTGCGGCTGCATCCTCTCTTCGCCCAGCGCGAATGTAAACGCCACCATGCAGAACACGGCCGCCTTGCGCACAGCAGAGTTCTGGTGGTCAGCCAGCTGCCGGACGAGGGAACATTATCGTCATCGTAGAACCAACACTATTCTTGCATTTCTATGTTTATAATTGTTTACTAGCTTCATTGTTTCAAGATTGAAAATAGTGACACCTACTGAGATGTTGTAAGAGCGAAGCTTAAACATTTTCCGCTTTGTGATAATAAAAATAAAGCTGGTAATAACGGGAATGTTGTGTTCAGAGTTATTTTTTAACTGATCATGGATGGCTCAGAAATCCGAAAATGAATAGTGAAATTGGCATAACGGAGTCATGGGACCGATTGGGATAAAAACAAAAAATGCATCATTATCTATGTTTGAAAAATCCATTTTACTGACAAGAAGTCGAGCTGGTCGATTTGGCAAAAACAATACACAATAAAATACACGCGTGTATTCACGTGCATTGCTTTTAAACAGTTTCGAATTTGAAATGACAAATCGATGCCTTACTTTCTTAAACTCGTATCGTCTAAAGAGTGATTATTCAAGAGACGTCGAAATTTTCTATTCATTTTAAATGTCTTTTTAATACAGTTGCTCAAAACGTGGTATTTTTCGTACTACAAATCGTGCCGAAAGTTGGAATTTTCGCAGTAGTGCTTTTTACTTTTCCATTTTTTTTTAAATTTACTGTTGTTTCAAATCTTAAGCACAGAACTAAAAAAGTTGTATATTTATGTGCTTTGTGACGTAAGTCATTCGTCATTAAAACGTATATTTATTTACAAATACTATATAATGAACGTATCGAGTGGAGGTCCACAGTCTCCGCCTACCCCTGAATGGGTGACAGGCGAGATTTTTATGTATAAATTTGTTCTATGTATTACAGATAAATTGTATCTCACTACCGTGCACGGGTTCCTAAAGAAGTTTAATCAAAAGTACCAGGACTTCATAATAAGAAAAGTGGTTACAGACCGATATTACAGAAAATAAACAAAAACAGCACGTTAGAACTAGATTTCCATAGACTTTTAACTAATGGTTGCAGTGGTTGTATTTCATTATTTTAATTTACTAGCAGAAAATGAGTTTTTTTTAATTACTGTTTTATTTTACTTTCAATGTAGTTTTTTCGCAAATGTATTAAAAAACGTCGTTTGATGCACGTGCGGATTTGTCATTTTCACTTGTCTCGAGTTTTGATCCTCGCCTCTGGCTCGGGCCAAGAAGCCTCGAATCGAACTCGTGAATAATAACTAACTTTCCGCACTTGTATCAAAAATAACTATATCGAGCATTGACTTACAATTATATGGACGTCGGGTCCGCGCTAAAAAGTGTCCGCACTTGTAAGGCGCTAAAATCGTATACAGAGCGCGACACTCCGCTTTAGTCTTCATTTGTTCTACTGACAGCGCGATACTGCGATGACATTACAATTTAAATTTCGAGTAGGTTGACTTGGGACATTTTTTTCGTGGTTTTTGTATTAGACCCGTCGTCCATTTATTTGTAAGTCAATGATATCGAGGGTGTTAACTTGGATGCATTACTTTAAGAATAGTTAAAAGCTAGTGTGTGAATATGAAAGACATATGATGTGAAATCAGTCGGCAAAATTTGTATATACAATCCATTTTTTGCATTTCTGTAACTTTGTGCTTTAAGATACGAGTTTGAGATAGCAAGGCGACGAATTCGTGACTTCATCGTCTAATCTTTGACATTGTATTTACACAAATGATTATTATTTTGTCATCTATAGTTCGTTTTAACCCATTCTACAGAAATACTAAAGAAATAAGTCATTGACCCAACTACAGACATTTAGTGATGGCCAGTTGTGTTGCCAACTACACATCAATAAATTAATTGAATGAATAGATTTGTTTAATTAAATCAGTTAGAATAAGTTATTTTTGCAATTTCGTTGTTGGTAACTTGACAAAAAATATGGTAATTTTTTGTTAAGCCAACCAACGGACCCAACGAATTTTTCTATGTGCTTGGGTCGTGTCTTTGTATTTGGTTTTTCAACGACTTTTTAGTCGTAGCGCCATCTATGAGAAATCTATGAAAGAATTATCACCCAGTTAGTACCTTTACAGCTACTATCGAATCTACTATCAAAGGAATTTTTTCTGAGTGTTCGTTGAAAAACCAAATACAAAGACACGACGCAAGCACATACAAAAATTCGTGAGGTCCGTTGGTTCGTTCCGTGGCTTAGTTGGTATAGCGTCTGGCATGGTATGCAAGAAGACGTCGGTTGGTCGGTGGTTTTTTTAACACGACCTATAAATTATCATCATTATCTCAGCCCGTTAACACCCACTGCTGGGCACTCAGTATTAAATCCTCCTCCAATTCTTTATACTAGATACTTGCTCGATTGTGATTGAAATATTCGATTTGTTAATCGATTACAAAAATTTTAATTAAATGAACCGAATGGTTTTTTCGCACAACATTATGCAACCGTGCGCCACGCCAGCGAGGCATATAAAATTAACTTCTACTGTGGACGTTAGCAATAGGTGAAGTGCCGGGTAATACCTGAACAATACAGTGGACTATCGGACACATCACGATGTTTCCTTTCGTATTACCCCGGTATTTCTGCCGTCCACTAACAAAAACGCGGTTAAGTGACAAAGATCCGTTTTAAATAGCAAAAGACAGAGCACAAAATTATCTTTTAAAAACATTTAAAATTAAGGTGTTCGAATATCATTAAACAATTTAAATATTCCAAAACTGGGTTACGGTTTTTTATAATACATCAAAAAAGTATTTTGTCATTAGGTCGCGTTTCGCTTCAAACTTGTATATTTGAAAAATAAGCTCACTTTCGAAGTAAGATTTTTCATGTTGTTGGAATGAATATTGTTGGAAAAAGCGACGGCGTACCTGCGCGACGCCCTCCATGAGCTGCTCGACCACGTCGTCGCTGAGCTCGTGGCTGCGCGCCTTGGCCACTTCGGTGGCCAGCTTCAGCGCGCACAGCGACGTGGGGTAGCCGCGCGTGCGGATCACCGGCTTCAGCAGCGCCAGCACCTGCGGCCAGACCGGCTCCACTGATCGCCCCTTGCCTTGCTTCGTTGGCGACCGCAATTACACCCACCATACAAATATTCCTCCCGGCCCGGGAATCGAACCGTGGGCACCGTTCGGCCACGGAGTCGGGTAAACTTTCAAATGACGATACCGGATTCTGCTTATAAATTATTCTAGTACCGATTAGAAGTACTTCCAACCTCTAAAATCCAAAGTTCCTTCTTCAAAGATTTGTATTAGAAATGTAGATAAGACAGCACTAATATTTTCGCAGAATAAACTCACGGAAGGCTCGAAAAGCCGTAAAGAAAGGCCAAAACACTTCCAGAAGTCCCCAGCGCTCACCTGGTGCGCGGGCAGCGCGTGCGCAACGTGCGCCATGCCGGCGTCCACGGCGCGCATCACCTCCTTGTTCAAGGCGCCGTACGCGTTGATCAGCTTCAGCAGTATCAGGTCGAAGTAGTCCAGCCATTGAGGCCGCGTTTCTGGTCTTCTGCAGAGCCAGATGAGGACTTTCACCGCTTCCGCCGCCGCGCGCTCGTTCGCCGTGGCCCAACCTGAACGCAAAACATGAACATGTACAAAATAATGCACAGATAAAAGGGTTTTCCTTACATTTTGTGCCGCAGCCAGATTTGTACGGGTTGTAGACTTTTTGTTACAAAGTTCCTAACAAAACTTTTTTTACGATTGTGGACGCTCTTTCCTCAAATACCTTTTCGTTACGTCCTGAAGACATGGAAACAACTGGTGCCTTTTACTATTTCCAATAATTTTGACGACATAGTTGACCGGCGAAGGATTAGGCGCAAGACGATGGGGTAACTGTTTGAATTATGTTTTGGTCTTAGGTTACAGTTAGCGCAGAGATTGACGTGATAGTCTGGCATATTTATAATAAAACTAGACGTACCAGAAGACGCGTTTGAAGCGCTCTCCGAATTCTCCTTATCACCGGAATTCTCGTCTATTGACAACGCGGCAAGAGCCACTCGTACTATGTTTCTGGGAACAAAAACAAAATCATGACAATGTGCACCCAGTTGGACACTGGATTTAAGACGGAGTTCAGTGGAAACAATAGTTGACACTGCACTGAGGTTACATTACAATTGTGTTAATATTTCTGCCTGACTTGTCGTAACAATGGTCGGAAAAAGGTGTTCCACACACATAGATACATGTATAAATATAGCTAGAGTTGTACAACATATTTTATTTAAAAGTACTCACCCAGTAGTTTTGTCTTATCTCGTTGGACGACGAAAAGTCAAAGTTGTATTTTAAAGTAACTCATGTCAAAAAAAAATGCAGTGGATAACTAACTTTTCATTACAGTAAACCTCCTTGGCGGAAGAAACAAGTATGGTGATAGTACTTCCCCGGACGAACTCTCACAAGGAGCTTTACTGGTACTAAAATGGTGATAATGACAAAGAAGCTAACAGTGCTGATGCAGATGATGCTGATAGCATGTACATTTCAATCTAAATCTGAAGCTGATAAATTTCAATTTTTACGTTACATGCAAACTCACAATCAGGTTACAAAAAGAAATACTAAATTTGTTGTATTATGTCAAAAAAACAAACAATATTTGTCGGAGTTTTAATTTTTAGTAAAGATTACAGTTTATAGAGTACATAAAAATAAATTACCCCAAGTAGTTGATTGCGTAAAACGGAATGTTTTTCTATAGAGATTGACACCATAGGAATCGATAAATCTAATCAGATATTGTGTATCTTGCGTCGATAGGAGCGTAACGTTTTTAGAGTAATTATTCCAATTTCGTTTCGTTGTCGTCGATTTTATACTTTGTTGTCGACATTTTGTTATTTGATATTGTTGATTTTTTAATTTGTTGTGTAGTTTATTTAATAACATAATAAACGAATCCTTTTTATTTTATTTATTATTGTCCCTAAATCGATTCTCTATACGTCACTACATCCCTAGAAACTTCAAATCTCAAACGTCACCGTACCCATGCTATGTGAAGTACAAGGTCAGGCGACTCACTTGAAGTACTCGCAGGGCTTGCGGCAGTCGCCGTACTTGAGGATCTCGTGCGTGGCCAGCAGCAGCCGTTCCCACTGCTCCGCCGGCGCCTGCGCCACGTCCAGCTTGCACAGGGCCTCCAGCACCTCTTGCTCTTTCAGACCGGCTGAGGACGGACAGGTTTCTTACACAAATATTTACTTATATACTTAATCTAATCTGCCGTCTTTGCCACTAACAAATTTTGGTGAAATTACAGGCACGTGAGACTTGTCAACTTATGTCTCACGGTGACGGGTGCAGTGGTAGTGCCCCTTGGATCTTTGTGATTCAAAGCTTTGATGAGTAGCACTGTAACTGTTACCATCAGGGCGTGACTTGTTCGCCACGTCAGTTGATGTTATAAAAAAACGCAATCGACATTTTTAGTCAAATTGAGTTGTACACATTATATCTGGAATCAGCAAGACCAGATGTACAACCTCCTATAAGCTAATAAATAAAAAACTTTAGGTGCTAATATTACGAAAGCTACCAAACTGTATTATATGTACTGTATACGCAAAAGCGTATATATTTTTATGACAAGGAGGGCAGTAATTAATACTATTTCTAAATGTACATTCCATTGTTTGCATCTTGTATGGGTCAATGTACATTATTATGCAACTGCCAATGTGCAACGTCGCGCCTTACATTGGGCATATGCCAAATTAATCAATTATAATTTTAAGTATATGTTGAGTGTGAGCGTTATTATAGTATAATAAATAAATAAAAAGACATTTATTTATCCACAAAACACACAAACAAACATAACCGAACAATTAAAACAAAAAAACCGTAATGTGGATAAAGGGGACGAAGACTCAGCATTGCTGGTTTTCAGGCTTCACCTTCAAAGCTACTCGATTTCTGCACAGACAGGAGCCATTGGATACATATGTTTTTGAAAGAATATAGCGTTTTGGCATTTTTTAACGGAAGTGGCAGGTCATTCCACCACTTACTCGCTGCGAATCGGAAACTGCCCCTGAACAGAGTTAAGCGAAGAACAATAAATAAAGTTACTCCGTGGTATCGGTCGAGTATTATTTCTACAGCATCTTTGACATTTTTGATCATCTCTCTCATCTGACATACTTTGACTTTGACTTTGACTTTGAACAAAGATCTATGTGCAAGACTACTTGTTCTCAGGACATAGTACATTTCGTTCGTTCTTCTACGCTGTGGATGTCGGATCGACTGTTGTTCGATTTTATATTTCCGAAACGAAATAAGATATATAAATTCTCAAAATACCTTTACACAGGTCTTAGTTTGAACAACGAATTTATTCTCGGAACGTGCTTATTCTCTTTTTGCTAATAATCACATCGGACTTTGTTCTTCGGATGAGTCGCATGAGTTCCTCTTCGAGTTTTGATTCTCTTTCTTTAATACTCGGATTCTGAAGCTACTCTGATCGACCACCTCTCTATTAACCTTCATTATTTATATATTACGTAGTCAAGCTCGTTATTCATATTGTACATTAAATTATAAAAAAAGCGACTTTTAAAATTCGTGGAATTACATCTTTTATTGAAATCGATTACCGGAAAGTGCGCGACACCGGATTTTATACCTTTGTCTGGAGGTGGAATGTTTTCTTCAAATTTAAATGGCACCACTACTGAGGTACCCTCTTTCCAATAAAAAAAAACATCAAAATCATTCACGAATACCGGAGTAATCGCATGACATACACAAAAAAAAACCAGTCCAATTGAGAACCTCCTCATTTTTTGAAGTCGGTTAAACTACAAGATTGTAACATTGGTTATATGAAATAAATGATTCTATCTAAAAATCAGAGTTATTTTTTTGGGTTAAAACGTTATAAACAGTCTAACTTATCAATAATAAATAAACATCAAAGTTAAGGTTTAGAACTTGAAGTTTGATTGGTCAAACCATCCGCTATTAACTGACCTCGCGACACAATGATAAGTTTAAAAATACTCACATTTAGTTATTATAAATCCGTCTTCATCAGTCTCATAGGGCTTAATTTTGTCTCGTCCAAGATGCGCGGAGGTGTAGTCACTGTAGGCAACAAAACCGCAGTCAATTCCAATCATCCGGTCAGAGGCTAAGGTGTCATAAGGACACATAGATATCTCTTATTTCATAAGCAATGTTCCGAAAAAGGTGTTCTACGTATATAGATACATGTATAGACATAGTTATATGGAGCGACATACAGTTGTTAAAACCACCAAATAATACTTAATTATTTTTGCGATTTCTAGATTTTCGGAAATGTTTTTACTGCATCGTAGTTGATTTTAAAATAATTCTAATGGTCCATGTAAAAAAATGCAGCAGATAAATGACAGCCTTGTTGCCGTTCCGATATATAGATGATGATGATGAGAACGTCGTAACAATCACACTTTTTGGCAACATTATGTCTTCTTTCACAATCTATCCATAAAACTATCAACAACAACTACATTACTATTTAAAATGTATGAAAACTAGCAACCCTACAAATGTCGTTTTAATCAGTCTTCAAAAAAGACAGACTATAGTTTGTTATAATTATTAATACAAACATCGAAAGAAAAATTTCTTCCATTGGACAGGATTCGAGTCTGCTTTTGTGAGCCAAACTAGGGCCACCGCTCTACCAACAGAGCTACATCGGTGGTGTATTCCTGTGCCTCTGACGCTCCTTGGGCAACAATTGGCGAGTACCTTACGCCGATTGGGAAATCATTACACCACCATGGCCAGCATTACGCATTGATACGATAAGAAGAAACTGAACTAAAGTCTGTTTCAATCCATTTTGAACAAAAAGTGTCCAAACCTGTTTAGTTACAATTCTAAAGCAATCACTTAACAAATCGAATGAGTAACACTTTCACGTATATTTTGAAGATTTCGACTTGATATCTCATCACTTTTACCAACAATGTTCATTTGAATAGCATCGTAAAATCGTATTTGAAAAATGGTAGTAGTCCAAAAGCGAGGTTATTTTTCATCTATACATCTATGACTTGTCCATGGTTGCATAGTGCTGTACGAAAAAAAAACATTCGGTTCATTCCATTTAAGTTTTTGTAATCGATTTGTAAATCGAAAATTCGAGTATCTAAAAGTAACGATTTGAAGGAGAAATTAAAATTAAGATTTCGGAAAATTTAAATATGCTTGTATAGGTTATGTAGGGCAAACAGTTAAGACTCAATTGAACAAATCGATTCCAATTAATTAATCGATTTGTAGTTGGCATTACCATTGGCCATCACTAAACCGTCTATAGTCGGTGTCAGTGGCTTGTTTGTTTACATTTTGTTCAAAATGGATTGAAACGAAGTATTCATATCGAGTCAGCAGGCCTTACATTGTTAGAGATCTTTTGTTATTGGGTTTTACACTTGAAATCGTCACATTGGTTAAACACTCCTATTATTTCGTAAGGCAGATTCCCCTGAAAACCATGAGTAAGAAACTCTAGGAATAACTTTTTCTAATTTAACAAACAAACAAATTGAATTTTAGAACAGCACGTACATATTTTTAAAACCACAAATCGACACCTCCTACGTAATATATCGTAAGTCGAAATTGCCAAGTTTACAGGGGAGCGTTTTAAACTTTTGAATTCACTGAAAGAGTGATCATCTCATAGATCATCTAACCGATATCTAGGATTTATAATACTCTATGTGAGTAACGAGCGTTGCCGAATAAAACTGAGAAATGCTAAAGTCACGTGTTAGGCTCATTTCAGTGAAATCAGAACTTTAAAACGCCACCCTGTAAACTTGGCAATGTCGACACACGATTCTTTACGTAGGAGGAGTCGCATTGACATCTATACACATTGACTTACAATTATATGGACGTCGGGTCCGTGCTAAAAAGTGTCCGAACTTATAGGGCGTTAAAATCGTATACAGAGCGTCATTCACGCTTTAGTCTTTGTTTGTTCGACTGACAGCGAAGCAAGCAAAATTAGACAGTACTGCGATGACATTACAATTTAAATTCAACGTTTTAGCTTTTTCATATTCCTTTACATGTCACTACGTTTAAATAGGTTGACTTGGGACATTTTTTTCGTGGTTTTTGTATTAGACCCGTCGTCCATTTATTTGTAAGTCAATGTCTATACAAGACAAAATGATTGAATTATTGGAGGCGCAATAAATGATTTTGATCCCGATTGTGTTACCAGTGTCATGAAATCGTCGGTTAAAAGGTAAAACTCATTAAGTGACATTTTGTTCAAAAACTAGATTTTTTCAATTTTGCTTTATTGGGAAGAACATCTATGACAAGAAAAATTCAGTAAGTCTGTGGTGTCCTTCATGTTTTAATACATACCAGTCCTTTAGTGATTTTTCATAATGAAAAAATACAAAATCTTAATTATCTCCCTTTGGCCAATTAGGCTATTAGTGAGTTTTACCTTTTAACCGACGAAATAGTCTTTTATAATTCGTTAAAATCTAAAACATTTATCACTGAAAATTTTTCGGAATGGCGCTTTCGCCTTTTCTACGAAACACCGACGATTAGTCGTTTGCGATAATTATGTAAGGATCTAAGGAAGATAAAAATATATACAGTTAATGCAACTGATGAATTATATTTCGTGTAAGATACTCACGGGTGTTGTCCGAAATCGAGCCTGTTGTGCGCAGGCACAGGCGAAGATTCCTTCGTGCTGTTGGCCTCTTCGGAGCTGTCTGCTGAAGCTGCGCGCGCCACCTCACTGCAATAAGTGCCGTTTATAATCACTGTGTCAGTCAGGAACAATGGCTCATTTCATACCGAAAACTTACGTATTCGATTACAACCAAAAAGAGGCGACCACTGAGGCAAGGAGGGAGATTGCAACGTCTGAATCTCCTTATAGCTTGAGTCGAGCAATAGGGCATCAAGCTGATAAGATTATTTATATTTTTTAAGCAAAAATTCTGTTGTTGATGTTAGACCACCACGACATTCAATAGTTTTTGTGATATTATTCCACTAGTTTGTAATAATAATTAATACAAATTAAATTGGATTGAATTGAAATAAATGGGTTCTGTTTCGTTTTTTTTTTTATGAGGGGCGTCTCTGTCCTATAGGGTCCTCCTGGCAGAATACCAGCGTTATGCTGAATCAGCGCCTTTTCATTGCCATGGCTTCCAAGACAGATACTAGTGGAATATATTACTGTCTTACGTCTAAGTTAATGTCTGTATCATGTGTCTGAGTTGTGATTGTAAAGGTGGTGAATAAAGATTTTGTCTATCTACAAACGTCGAACACTGAAAAAATGGCTTCAATCCGGCTGGATTCTAATCAAAGTCTCCCATCAAACCGTGCCAGACGCTATGCCAACTAAGCCACGGAACGAACTAGCGGTCCTCACGAATTTGTCTATGTGCTTGTTGCTCATTTTTTTTGGTTTTTAACATTGACCTACCAACAAATGGACTGTTGAATGGGTTCGCGATAAAATTGTCCGCACTTTGTCCGCGTTAAAATCGCATACAGAGCGCCAATCGCGCAACAGCCTTCGTTTGTTCGGCTGACAGCGCAGTTGTCAATCATGCAGTACTATATAATAATAATTTGCAAAAATTACTGCAGTAAAGTATAAAAACAGGATTTTGTATCATATTTTCACTAAACAAATTATTGTGTTATCATAGTTATCATTTAAAAGGTTATTTTGTGCAGTTGTACAGTATTTAATTTATACATAAATGAAAATCGAAAATATAAATTACAAAAGCAAACAAAATAATCAAATAGCTAACTGTCCTTTTTCTACACATTGCACGCGCAAAAGATGGAAAGAGACCCATTACATCAATTTCAAGAAACTTATATAAACTTCTTGGTCATTTTCAATTGTTCGAACCACAAGCGATTGAAATATTTAGAATAAAGAAACCATAGAGTAGTATTTTTAAAATGATTTTTATTGAACGTTAGCAATAACTAACAAAATATTATATACCTATCAGAAATCAGAAAATAAATTTGCCCGAAATAACGTTAGCTCGAATTTTCATAATGTCAAACGTATTGTTTTAGGAATATTACAAATCAAAAGTTAATTTTGTCTTTGTGAAAAGCATCAAAATTACTTAAAAGTTAACGGTTTTATTATAAATCGGTTTTCGGAATTACGGATATTTGAGTTTACGTTTAGTTGGAAAATCGGTACATTGCTTATAATACAAGCTTATTTTCACATTTGCAGTAATAATTGCATGTATATATCTGCCCAACTCTTTATTATTTCTTCAAGTGAACTTGTACAAAATTCAACATAATAATATATATATATAAATTAATTAATATTTACAATGAAGGCAGCTCCATTACTTTTGTGTTCAAGTAGTTTTCAGTCGAAGCTAAATATGGTGCATTTTGTTAAGTTTCCAGTAGAAGCTGAATATGGTGTTTTTGGGCCCTTAAATTGCTGCAAGCAAAATTAGGCAGTACTGCAATGATGTTACAATTTAAATAAAATGTTTTCGTTTTTTTATATTTCGTTACATATCACAACGTTAGTTTCGGTTAACTTCGGACATTCTTTTTCGTGGTTTTTGTATTAGAGCCGATGTCCATTTGTTGGTAGGTTAATGGTTTTTAACGATTTTTTTGCCGTAACGCCATCCGTGAGAAATCTCTATCTAAATTTCATAGATTTTGAGAATTAGCATTATAGTACATTTGTACTACTGACTATAAAAAATAAGGTACAAAGTTGCACTTACGCATTATAATGTCCATTGGGTATCCCGTTCTGTCCTCGGTTGGATAACGTGACGTCAGACATCTGGCTGATCCCAGAGTCCTTGCTGGACATGTGGTTGCCGCACTCCGCTGGAACAGAACGATAGTACTGTATCTCAACGCACTGGTCTCTTTAGAGGCGTCTCAAATCGACCTACGTTCGTGGACATTTAAGAAAAAAGATAAAACCATATTGTTACCTTGCTACACCGCGAGGAGGGAAAGCGGGAAAATCAAGTATTATTTGTCTTTTTTGAAAAGGTAGTAAAATGACATTCGTAGGGTTGCCAGTTTCATAAAATTTTAAATAGTCATGTAGTTATTATCGACAGTTTTATCGATAGATTGGGAAAGAAAGTAAAATTTTGCCAAACATGTCTGAATTGTGAACGTTACGACGTTCTAATTATTACTAATTGCGTCATTGCCTTCTTTATCTTTATATTATTTTGACAGTTGGCGTACTAGCAACAAAACCAATTTTATTCACACACACTTTAACAAGAATAGGCGGATTTGATTGAATTAAAGTGAAAGACAGTGTATATAATTATATATCAACTTTGGCACTTTATTGCATAAGCGTAACCAACATTCATGTTAATTCAACTATACATGGAAAAATATTCAACACGAGCGTAGCTATTTCGCACGATTGAACCATCACCGCGTTCGCGGAGTAGCAGTGTAAAATTTACTTCCATTTTTATTAACACAGATTTCCAAAAACTTGAATCTGAATCTGAAAATTGCCAAAACATTGCTTGCGCAATCTACGCACGTACTATTAGTTATGTTTCATATAGTTATGATAGACATTATTAGGTAAAGGTCACATTTGACGAGGGCTTGGGGTATTGTCATAACTAGGAACACATTTTTGGGAATCTTTTTCGAAATGCTGGTCAAATTACGAAATTCCCCTTCACAGTGATAACCAGGTAACTAAACTTTACGTGACATCGAATAGATTCTGCAAGGTTGGAGATCTCACCGCGCATTACCTAAGGTGCGAACTGCCCTACATAGTCAGACTAGAGTTCGGTATGGAACTAACTAACTTGGCCTGAGATTTTGGCTCGCATCATATTATACAACCATTTTCAATTCTACAAATGAATATGGACTCACTAACAAGTGAACACGAAATACTTTGCAGAATATTGACAGATTGTATAACACAAAGCGGCCGAGTGTACCTGACAATTCCCTGCAGAAATTTAATGATATTTAATTAAAATTTTAAAACTGATATTAAAGCAAACAATCTGCCATTTTCCGCTGTCATAAAAAAATAAGTAGCTAAGAAAAATAACAAAAAGTTCTACGCCAAACCACTGATTTATTAATGATTACGTTACATAAAAAATACAAGTGTAAAAAACATTTAAATACTTACAAAATAATATAAGAACAACGAAAATAGGCATAGCATTTCACATATACATTTGTGGTATTAAAATGTTGTAACTGGCGCCCGTACATTTTATACAAACTAAAGACAATAGTTTTCAAAATTGGACTTATGTCGTTTGTCATACAGTCTCTTATTACACTAATGGATTAAACTTGCAATTTTTATTAATAACACTGCCTCCTAAGATACAAACACATTTTAGAAACCATAAATTTTTACGCCTTTCTTTTACCATAGTATAATAAGACAGATAGGACAACTCCCGCCTGTTCAGCGCATAAATGCCTACACCTCACTCGGAACGTAGGGATGTCACATTATTATGTTACTTGTACGTAAAGCTTATAAACATAATGTGAAAAAAAAAGACAAGGTGTTCTTCACAGTTTTCTCGTCCTATATTATAATTATTATTGTTAAATGCAGTGCTTATGTATTAAAATTATTGTATACTAGCATTACGGACTGCTATTTGGATTATGAGAGTATAATTATGAAATAGAAATGAAATGTTGAACAATTCTGAATTATAGTCCCTCTTGTTCAAATCACCATAAACAACAATAATCATGTCTAATGTTTGATATAATTTTTTAAACACTGATGGAACGCTTCAATTCTATAATGAATGAGGTGACGACCCTTTTTATGACACTAAGTGACCGGACGAACAAGTCGTGCGCCTGATGGTAACCGACACGCCCGTCCGTAACGGTTGCAGTGCTACTCAGAGCTTTAAATCGCAAAGATCTGAGGGGCAAAGCCACTGCGCCACGAGCTGATCAGAAAAAGTTTTATAATAAATATAATAAGTCGGTAGTGTAACTCCAAACAACGTGTATATGTTTGTACAAACTCGTATTTCATTTCTATTTAATCTCCATACTCCTTTATTCGAGACAGCAAACCTCGATGCTGGTATTAAAATAACAATACGTATGTTCTGCGTTTCAATTATTTCACGCACGACACTACTGCGATGAATACCTTAAATAATAATCCTAAAATAGTAATGTGACAACCCTACGAGTGAAGTGTAAATATTGACGCGCCGCACAGTCGGAAGTTACGCCAGTGGCATAGCGTCGATTTCTGACGCCCCGGAGCCTTATTTTCATGATTCCAAAAGTAGTTCGATTTTTCTTTGCCGCCTTTGTGTATTTCAGGATATCGTTTTCTTAAACAGTGGAATTTATTTTCTAATTTTAAGTCTTGGGTTAAGCTGCAGGGACACTGGCTTTATTTCAGAATTTATTTTTTTATGGCCATTTGAAAAATGTATATCGTATACTATACGTGTCCTACTTAGTTCAATTGATATAAAAAAAATCATAGGTAAAGTACCTATTGAGTACAGGGGTGTTTTTGTAAAATTTCAAGGTAAGTTTGGGGTTTTTTTTCTAAAAAGTAAGTAAGGTAAGTTTGTGTTTTTGTGACTATTTTTAGGAATAATATAGGTATAACCTCAATTTTACTATATATTTTTCCAAAGTGATTTATTTTACTGCCTCCGTGGCCGAACGGTTACCTTGCTGGACTGCCACAAGTTCGATTCCCGGTACATTTATTTCTCTCGTGAGTTTGGGTGTAATTTGTCGTTGTCTATGTGTGTATCCACGGCACCCGCGACACAGGGTTACCCTTGTGTGTGTTGTTATTATTCAACACTTCCACTGTTATGCGGACTCGACCAAAGCCACTTGAGCTAGTATAGACTCGTTAAGAAGAAAAAAATAGTATTATTATACTATGATTTTGTCTACGCCATATCTCCGAAAGTGACGCATGATATCTTATTCGCTCTATTATACGGACATAAAACTTTTTAAGATCAATTCAATGCTCCGTATCGATAAGTGAGGTGTCACCCTAATTTTGGCGTAAATAAAAAAAATTACACAGTACAATCGTCACTAAGTCATGTCCATTAGTGATGTTAGGTACGGTAAAACTTGACAATGTTCAATAAAAACACTTTAAGTATTTGATAAAACAATTTGGGAGTTTTATACTACTTAGTCGGTGATAGAGAAGCAAAGTTTTTCGTTGTTCCTTTGTCTATGTCTTCTTTACGTACAACGAAACTAAGAGCGAGTAAATGAAAACCGAGCTGATGCAATACAGAAGCAAACATAATATGAAAATCGTTTGTTTCACCAAGCGCAGCCAATCCCAAATTAGTATCCATACATCCCAGAACGCGTCAATTTCTTCGGTTATACCTAGGGAAATTGGCAGATTGTTAGTTTGATTTCTTGATAAACTTGTAAGAAAATATCCAAATGTTTACACAAAGCAGGGGGGGACCTATCACGTCGCTTTCCCACTAGATACCAAAACACATTAATCATGTCAACATCAAAAATGGAAATGTATCCAGCCCCCTAGCTATGTCAATAAAAATTTTCAATAAAATACCTGAAAACATCAAATTTGTAAACTAAAAGACCTACAAATATAAAAAACTTATTATACAATTGGTGAATATTTGAATGATAAAACAATAACTGCATAAATATTAATAATAATAATTCTCTTCAAACTTTCTTTCATGACATGATATATACAGGTTTTAGGTTTTTATACTTAATTATTGACATTTATTATTATTCAACTACGACGTTCCTTAATTTTTTATCACATTTTTGACGTAATAATATTATCACAATTTACGAACATTTGATAGGATTATTTTTTTTTGTTAATAATTTATTTTCTTCAACCATTACTTTGTCCAATTTTGACCATAAATTAATTAGTTGAATGAAAAGAAAATTGTATCACCATATTTATGCTTTTCTAAATTTTTATATTAGTGCTGATATATTTGATAATTCTTTCTAATTACAATTAATAATTAGTAAAGTTATTATCATTGTAGTGCCCTTACAGGGATCATGTGCTGGAATACTATTATGTAATACCTCTGTAAATCCACATGACATAATGAATTATGACATAGGTGACTTTTCTACTGTTACTTTTTGAGTAATAGCATTTGTATCTAAATAGACCCCGCAAGTGTACCTACTTCGCGTGCCCAATGTGAGTTGTAAACGTTGTTGTCATAGTTAAACGTCAGTTGGAAACGCGAAAAATGCCTAATTGTGCCATTAGAAACTGCAAAAACACCGTATAACTTGGCAATTTCGACGTACGATACTTTACGTAGGAGGGGTCGATTTCAGCTATCTAATTTGTGATTTCAGCGCAAACGTAAGTCGATATTTAAAAGTAATATAGGGCCCATTTGCTTGATGAGTTGCCAGGGATGGATGGCCCTTATTTCGTCTCTATTTCTGGTTATATACTCGATGACTTATAAAATAAACCGAGAATTGAGGATCTAATGTATCTAGCGTACACTCCGTAATCCATCTAAACTTGACAGGCATGATTAAAGGCAATAATCATACGTGTTAAAATTGTTTCTTCATAACTGTACCTTATATAATTTTTTGAGTTGAGTAGATTATATTTATAACATTGTGCTGTATTTCGCTTCAGATGTTTGTTCGTAGCAGCAGAAAACAACAAGTTTTCAGTTTGTTCCCAAAAACAATAAAGAACTTCCCTAATATTCCCAAATCTGCCGCAATGAAAATGAATAAAAATCAAATCTGCCACAAATGGTCACGGTTCTCAATATCAATGTGCCATTGACATTAGCACGAGGTCTCTTGTCAAAACGTTCCTTTGCAACTTTTATTACCTCTCATTTAAATATTGTCTAAATATTTTTGTCACATTGTGTTTTATGTTTTGCTTTATGTCATCAATATTTAATCGATTATTTCATTACGTATTTTATAGCTTTAATGTTTCATATGTGTACTATAAAATACTTCAGGTAGGTAACCATTCAATCGTGTTTAAATGAAACGTAGGTACAAGAACATTTAAAACAAATACTAATAATTAAATGTTATTATTGTATAGAAGAATTTTTTTCAGACAAATTTGAATAACTATAATTGTGTAATTGTGTTGGAAATGTATATTGATTTAAAGAATAAGTGTGCTCTGCCCTTCTGTACAGCGCCCTTACTGGGTATCATATAATAAGGACCTATAATTATGTTATTTAAGATCTTTGTATACCTTATATGGAGTAATAAATAAATTGAAGAACGTTACTGTAGTGTATCCGAATGTGTGGTGCATTGGTCTGCACCGCTCACACATACTCTCTCTCTCTCGCGCCCGGCTTGCCTATCGTGTAGTGTGCAATTATATAGAAATAAATCGCATTAATTAATTGCGCCGTCTTTTAATCATTAAGACACAACAATTTGGCGACGACCGTGACGAATTCACGCTACAAATAAGAATTTACGCTATTTCGAGGTTTCTCATCAACAATTTTAGTGTTAAAGTGCATAGCCGGCACGCTTCAGTGTGAAGTACGCGCAGATTGCAGGCGAATTCCTAAACTCGCCATTTTGACGTTTAGGCCCGTCCGATTCTAACTTCATTGTTTTGTTCGTAAATATATGCTTCATGCGTACGTCGTCGGAGAGCAATTCTTCAGAGCCTGAATCCGAGTTTTTTGATAGTGAAAACGGAGAAAATTGGAAATTTCAGAAAAGATCATGGATTTACAAGTTGAATAAGTCTGAATTACAGAGGAAATTAAAAGAGTTTGGCATTGAATTCGATTCAAACACTAAAGTTGATGAATTACGCAAGCTATTGAGCAAATATTGCAAGAATCCCCGAAATCAATCATCCAACATGGCAAATTACCAACTCCAACCTTTTGACGGAGTGAATTGGGAGTGTTTCGAACAACAACTAGAATGTATAATTACGTTAAACGAAGTATCGGAAGTAAAAAAAGTGCCGCTACTTTTAACCAAACTAACTCCTAAAGTGCTGGAAGTCCTCAATTGTTTGTGTACCCCTACAAAACCTATAACACTATCATATGCTGTTTTGTGCAAAAAACTAAGAGAAAAGTATACGCAATTACAATCAACGGCTTTGGACCGGGCCACGTTCCGCAGTAGAAATCAACTGCCAGCAGAGACCATTGAAGACTATGTTTTACAATTACAGAAATTAGGAGCAAAATGTAACTTCAAAGACTTAGAAGACCAAATCAAAGAAAAATTAATAGATGGTGTCCATTCAAAACTCGTAAAGTTCGAGCTATTAAAAAGCAGTTTCAATTTAACTTTGGAACAAACCATTATGTTGGCTAGAACTGTAGAAGCAGCATTAGTTCAAACTAGCGATATTAAGAAAGAGGACACAGTGTCAGAGATGTTTTTCTATGATCAGAGAAGGAAAACAGAAGAGAGAAAACCGGTTTTGGCCAAAAATACCAATAATTGTTATAAAGAATCAAAATCTAAATTGGATCGTAAGAACCAAATATGTTATTGTTGTGGTGCTAATAATCATATAAAATCTCAGTGCAGATTACAAAGAAAGTTCTGCTCAGAATGTGGTCGACAAGGGCATATCTTCAAAATGTGCTCAAAGAACAAGAGAATTAGCAGCAGGATATATACTATGGAAAAAAGTGAGACTTCGGTCGATACGGAAGAAGATGTAGAACCATCCGAATTCCCATTGTATAACAAATACGAGACATATGCAGTTAATGTAAGTAGAATACCACCACATTACATTACATTGAATATTGAAGGTATACTTCTTGATTTCCAACTAGACACAGGCTCAGATGTCACCGTAATTCCTTTAAAAGATAAAATAAAGTATTTTAATAGTAAATATGTAACCCAATGTAACATAAAATTTAAAAACTTTGATCAAACAATTTCCTGGCCAGTAGGAATATTAGAGAATGTAACAGTTCAATATGAACAAAAAGTAAAAATATTACATGTTTACATTGGCAATGATAATATGCCACGCATTCTAGGCCGTGACTGGTTAAGTAAATTTGGATTGTGGCCTCCAAAGTTTCTCAATACAAATATTATTGAAGTAGCCAGTAATGACAAACCTATTTCAGATGCGGAAAACTATGTAAAAGAAAAGTTCACAGAAGTATTTAGTCCGGGCTGGGGCAACTTCAAAGGTGAAACAATTAAATTAAAATTAAAACCGGATGCTAAACCAAAATGTCATCCAGTGCGCCGTGTGCCATTGGCACTCAAAGATAAGGTACAACTTGAAATTACTCGGTTAGTAGCAAATGATAGAATAAAGCCAGTAAAATACAGTCAATGGGGCACCCCAGTGGTACCTATTTTGAAAGCAGATGGTTCAGTTCGCCTATGTGGGGACTACAAGGTCACATTAAATCCACACCTAGAAACTGACCACTTTCCTTTGCCACATATAGAGGACATTTTTGAAACATTAAAAGACGGAGAATACTTCTGTGAGTTGGACCTAAAAGAAGCATACCTTCAGGCACCTTTAGATAAGGAATCACAAGAGTTAACAACAATTGTTACTGAATTCGGTACATATCAATATCAATATTTACCATATGGTGTTAATACGGGACCAGGCTCTTTTCAACGGTTAATGTATGGTAAATTAGCTAACATCCCAAATACTATAGTATTTATTGATAACATATATGTAGTAGGTAAAACAATAAAGGAAACTTTGGATACTCTTTGTAAAGTATTATCTAAATTAAAAGAATGTGAATTTAAACTTAAATTGGAAAAATGTAAATTTTTTAAAAAGAGCATTGAAGTTTTTGGTTTTAGAATAACAAAGAACGAAATTAGTGTAGTAAAAGAGAATATAGAGCCATTACTAAATACTGAACCACCCAAAAATATCACAATGTTAAAGTCCTTTCTAGGAAAGGTTAATTATTATTCCCGTTTCTTAAGGAACATGGCCCACATATTAACACCCTTATATGAATGTACTCAGAAAAAGAAATTTATATGGACAAAAGAATGTAACGACGCTTTTAGGTTAATAAAAGAAAAACTGACATCTGTAGATAATTTAAGACATTTTAACCCGGATTTGCCACTTATCTTGACATGTGACGCATCACATACAGCGTTAGGGGTAGTACTGTCAAATAGAGATTCAAATGGTGTGGTCCAGCCCATAGCGTACGCTAGTAAAAAGTTAAATGCTACCGAGCAGAAATACTCGGCAATTGACAAAGAAGCTATGTCAATAATTTTTGGTGTAACAAAATTTTATAATTATACTTATGGACGTTGTTTTGAATTAGAAACAGACAATGCTGCTTTGGTCAGAATATTTGGTCCTAACAAGGGCATTCCAAAAATGGCAGCCAAAAGACTTCAACATTATGCAATATTTTTGTCAGCTTTCACATATAAAATAAGATATATTAAAACTAATATTAATCCAGCAGATTTTCTGTCACGTGCACATTCAGATTGCAATCAAAAAATTATTTTACACCCGATTTGTGAAAATGCAAATGTAAGTAACACTTGTTACATAAATAACTCAGAATTAGAAAAACTAGATTGGAAAGTAATTCAGTCAGATACAATAAAGGACACTGTATTGTCAACAATTATAAGATATACTGTAGATGGTTGGCCTGAAAAAAAATTATTAAGCAAAGATTTGTTAACTTATTTTAACAAGAAAAATGAATTAAGTGTAGATAGGGGTTGTTTATTTTGGGGTTATAGAATAATAGTACCAACTATTTTGAGACAATCTGTTTTAACAGAGTTACACAAAAGCCATTTTGGAACAGTTCGTATGAAACAACTTGCTCGTTCATATTTTTGGTGGCCAAATCTAGATTCTGAAATAGAAGAAATAACCAGTAGTTGTTTTACATGTTTAAGTAACCATAAAAATCCTCAGAAAGGTCAATTGAAGCCATGGCCTGCACCACCGTCAGTATGGTATAGATTACATGCTGATTTTTTAGGTCCATTTTATAACAAAATGTACTTAGTGGTCATTGACAGTTACTCAAAGTGGCCGGAGGTGTTTGAAATGTCAAATATTGGCGCAGTACAAACCATAGAAAAAATTTAAAAGCATATTTTCGCGTTTCGGTTTCCCGGCACACTTGGTGACTGACAATGGACCTACTTTTACCAGTTTCGAATTTGAAAATTATTGTAAAGCTATAAATGTAAAACATACCTTTTCACCACCATATCACCCCGCTACAAATGGAGCGGCGGAACGATTTGTAGACACATTTAAAACTCATGTAACAAAAATAAAAGAAAGTGGAAATTCACTTTCTTCTGCAATTAACTTATTTCTCTTCGATTATAGAAATATGCCTCATAACGCCACTGGGATGACCCCAGCTAAATTACTACTGGGTAGAGAACTCAGGAATAGATTTTCCTTATTTAGACCTCCAGCTATTATAGAAAAATCATATGAAATACTAGAAAAACAATCAAAAAATTCTTCAGGAAATAGGAGTGTTGAATTTAATGTTGGTGAAAAGGTAATGGTTAAGGACTATCGAAAAGGTCACAAGCCATGGATTCAAGGAATTATAATAAAGGAATCAATTCCAAATACAACCTATGTTATAGATGTAAATGGGTATCAATGGAAAAGACATACTAACCAAATGTTGAAATGTAATGCTTGTCTGGACGAATAGAGACATAATTAAGTATTAGTTACTTAATATTTAAAGATTTGTTAGTTAAGACTAATTCAACTATAAGGTTCCGATTTTAACTCGTAGGACTTCTGTAAAGATGTATGCTGTGCATGATGCCAAGAGTTAAGAGACAGGGCCTTCCCTTTTGGAAATCGTAGATTATTGTTTTTCATAGGTTAAGGGGAAGAGAGTCTATAGTTAGTATTAAGTTTTGTTCATTCTGTAATGTTAAGGGTCTATCTATAGTTAGTATTAAGTTTTGTTTATTCTGTAATGTTAAGGGGGGAAGAGTTGTAGTGTATCCGAATGTGTGGTGCATTGGTCTGCACCGCTCACACATACTCTCTCTCTCTCGCGCCCGGCTTGCCTATCGTGTAGTGTGCAATTATATAGAAATAAATCGCATTAATTAATTGCGCCGTCTTTTAATCATTAAGACACAACAGTTACTTAATCTATGGTAGAACTGAATCAATTGCGTTGTGTTCTTGCATTTATTCTAAAATACATTGTTTTACAATTTCTTCATTCCCGACTTTTAAAAGTATACAAAAATATATTGATAACTAGGCATAAACAAAAACGCAAAATTATACTAGCAAAGTCCGTCAACGGCTATTCGCCATCCTTCTTTCTAACGCCATTTTAAGAACAGACGAAATTTCAAATATGAAATGCGCCCGCGCCTGACATGTAACGACGCGTAATAATTATAACATTTTTATTTAAAAAACCGACCTCCGAAGTTTGTGAATTTACATACTTACCTATATATTTGCAAAGTTTTATTAAAATCGGTTAAATCTAATAAACCTGACTCATCTTCTAATTTGCCCACCCTTACAGGTGGAATATTTTATTCAAATTTGTATGGGACAACTACTGAGGGGGTACGTCAGTAGTGAGTAGGGGGGAGAATTCGAAATCGGTTCATAAATGTTGGAGTAATAAAAAAAACTGTCGAACTGAGAACCTCCTCCATTTTTTTGAAGTCGGTTAAAAATACATGGCGGTTGCAATATATTTAAATTCGTTATGATCAAATGCAAAGTAAAGCTTACTTACCATTCGCGTGTTGCGCAGTGTAAGTGTGGATTTCGGTTGTCGTTTTCCTAATTCGTGAGTACACGTCTTCTGCGTTTGCGCAGTTTGATGTTGCGCTCGAGGTACGGAGGGGGCTGTCGCTGCCGGCTGTTGAACACATACATCATCTTTTCAAAAACCACATATTCAATAGTGGCTTAAGAAAAAATAGTAAATTTTAGGAAGCAGAGTATATTTACCTGAAATTTAAATAATATATATAGAGTAGATAATACCTCTCTTTTAACCCCGAAATGGTCAAAACTTATTGAACGTCATAATGTTTTTACTACACATGATATTCATCTATTTTTTATTATTATGATATCTATCGATTTCGTCTCGAATTTATTATTTGTTTAAACTAATGAACAACATGGAAATGGCTTCAGCTATAGTCTGGTCTTTTTTTAAGACGGAGTTAAATGACAGTTCAATGTGCAAGTGTTGGCCGCTTACAAGCAGCTAGTGATTGCGGTCGATAAATATTCTATCGACCATCGACTGCATATTATGGAGTAAATAGCCGAACTTGTTCCATTAGAATCATCGTCGACCCATTATTCATCCAATTACTGAGCACAAGTTCATTTGAATTGTCAATTTTTGTAAGTTCATATACATACATACACCGTATTTATGAAAAATACAAAGAGAAGACATATTTTGACGTTTTTCATTTTAATTCAATATAGATAATGAAATCCTGCTATTCTTGTTAAAATGTATATGAATAAAAATCGATCTCGACACTAGTAGGCCATCTGTCAAAGTAAGAACAAAGAAGGCAATATAGCAATTAGTAATGATTAGAACGTCGTAAGAATCATACTTCAGTCATTTTTGGCAACATTTTATCTTCTTTCACAATCTATCGACACAACTATCGACAACAACTACATAACTATTTAAAATTTTATGAAAACTGGCAACCTTGGTAACAAATATAATTTTTACTCCGTCTTCAAAAAAGACAAACTCTAGCTGGTTATCGAATTCGCGGCACACTCTAGGTTGTAGCTGAAAATTAGCGGTTTGCTCCTGAGTAAACACCGACGCTAAGCTATGGCCTTTTTGCACTACTACAGCCATCGAGTATATAATTTAATGTGTTTGAAAACTATTCTGCCAAATCATTACTGTGGCAACTGCGCTCCGATTGGCTAGCCCGAATTCGAAACAATTGATGTCGTCAATGGGTGTCGTCAAATGTTTCACTTCAAACCGCCCAGTTAACTTGAGCTTTGCTATAATGGAGGAAAACTGCAAAATTACACATTTAATATATAATTACCGATGAAATGTGATTCCGTTTGTTTTGTAATTAGATGTTTTGTTGTTTTTCCCACACCACCGAATAGAACAGCACGGCATTGTTAGAGATATTATGTTTATTACAATAAATACAGAATATTTTTTGGAATATACGGAGACGTACACACAGGTCAGTAGTTGGCAGTAGTTCAGTGCAAACGGGAGTTGATATTTATAAGAGTTGTGTCGCTAATGTGTTACCAGGACTAACTGGGTAATTGGGTGTCAGGCAGTTCTGCGACTCTACTGTCTTTTTTTTATGATATCACGTGACGGGGCAAACAAGTTGTGCGCGTGATGGTCAGCTACACACCCGGTCATAACAGTTGCAATGCCACTCAGAGCTTTCTTTAATCGCAAAGATCTGAGGGGCACTGCTACTGTGCCCGTCACCCTGATACATAAGTTGACAAGTCCCATGTGCATGTACTTTCACCCTTCCAAATAGGAACGCAGTAATGCTCACATTATTGTTTGGCGGCAGAAATAAGTAAGGTGGCTGTATTTCCCTGGACGAATTCTCTCACAAGGGGAGTACGGCTACTAAAAAATGTATGGGTGTCTGTAGATTAAAATTTTAACGTTTAATCTAATTTTTGTGATAATATTACACAAGTTTGTTATTATTACTGATAAAAATGATCGAAAACCGGGACTTTACCAACTGAGTTGAGATGTTACGAATTATAATGTTCTTAGGTAAGTGAGGTGATACATACTTGAGGAGGTCCGGCGCACGTGTTGCTGTAGAACGCCGTTGACCATGGCCTGCGTCTCCGCTGGCAGCTCGCTCATCAACGCCGTGAACTGCACGCATATGCCGTTAAAAGTTAGTTAATCAAGATATTTCAATTGTAAGTCAGATTATTATAAGGGATTCCACAGACAAAAGGCTGACACGCCCGAATCTATGTATTTTTATTTCATACGTTTTGGAGGGTGGAAGAGTTAGATTTGGTGGGTAGTTGAGTGAATGAATGGAGTGAGTGAGTTTTGGTGGGTGGAAAAGTGAGTGAGCTTGGGTGGGTGGCGAGTGGTTTAGTGAGTGAATGAATGGAATTAGTGAGTTTTGGATGGTGGAAGAGTGAGTGAGTTTTGGCGGATGGTTCAGTGAGTGAGTTCGGGCGGTGGCTGAGTGAGAGAACGAGACTGACCGGCACGGGGTTGCAGTCGTAGAGGCAGGCCAGCGCCCGGCGCGCGCTCTGGCGCACGTCGCCCTGGCGCGGGTCCTGCGCCAGCAGCGACACCTTGGCGAGCGCGCGGCCCGCGAAGCCGCCGGCGCCGCCTGCGCAGAGGCATTGCATGCATATCGTCGGTCGAGGAATGGCCGCTAGTGCCGTCCGTAAATTGTACGATTTGGGTGGACACAACTTAAGAGGACTGGTTTTCTGTGGCTCTTGTTACTTTATGAATGTAGGAAAACATCGCGACGAAACCTGCACGTAGAAGAAGGTTGACGGCCCTTGGGAAAATATGAAATTCTCAAAACCTTCTTTAAAGAAACCAAGCGCTTAGTAGTACAGCATTGTGAATTGATAATGACGTCATAAAAATCTCAAAATGCAAACGTTTAAGATCCAATTCCTGCTATAAAACTTGAATTAAATAACAGTACCTTGTAATGCAACAGCGAGGCTATTGGGCGTGCAGTAGTCGTGCGCCAAGTCTGCTAGAAACCTAAGCGCTGCTGCTTTCGTCTTGGCCGTGGGCGCCGTCGCACTGTCCGCTAGGAACCTTCAAGACAGAAATAAATACGTTCTTATTTTATTTAATAACATTTTTAATTTTTCGTCTCCTCTATCTTTATTTACTTAAAAAGTTTGTCAGTGCGTACGGTAGTTACATCGTAACCTAAACTAGATTAGATTAGCAACATCATAAACAACAACTGTTATTCAGTGAATGATCAAATATAATAAATTTACTAAAAATAAACTTCCATTAAATTTGTATTTAATTGATATTCAATTATTTTTTGTGAAATTATTCCACTAGTTTGTTATAATTATTATTTCCTTCGATCCGATCGCGTTCGAACCGACGTCTTGTAGCAAACCGTGACAGACTCTATGCCAATTAAAACTGTAAAGTAACTACTAGCTAACTAACTAGCCAAGTAACTATAAAGTTCCTAACACGATGACGTAATACTTTCATAGATTTCTCATAGATGGCGCTACGGTTAAAAGTCGTGGAAAACAAATCGCAAAGATCCGACAATAAGTACATAGAAATATTTGTAAAGTCCGCTGGTTCGTTCCGTGGCTTATTTGTACTATCTGACACTTTTTAGATCCGTACTTGGCAGTAAGTAGTAGGTTCAAATGTGTAAGTGTTCTCTGCGACGACTCCCGCGTTTTGCACAGTGTCTGATTTATTTAAATGTTTTTATTTTTGTATTAAACTCCCGGCGCATGTATTCCCTCCCCTCTATAACATCGGGTCCTTCAAACGTAGTGTGAAGAAGCATTTGGCCAGACCGGCAAAATGATAGTGACGGAGTGAAGATATTTGTGTTGAGCAGTCATTTTGCCGAGTCACAAAAAAAAAAAAAAAAATCTGACGATTAATTAAGGGTCATATTCCAGAACCCTACTTAATGCGCAAGTCAGGACTTGAGTTTGATTTCAAGCACTATAGACCATAATCAAGTCCTGATTTGAGCATTGAGTACAGTTCTGGAATATTACTAAGTCATTTTGCAAAAGTTGTAAATGTTTATGATGTTTGTAATACAGTCCTGAGAGATTGTATACATGTATAATTTTTTTCATGAAATTCGTAATATTTTTATGGCTTTCGTGTGACAAAAGCATTTAGAAGAAGTAATTGATATCCACGGCCATTACATAAAACAACTTCCAGGCTATCTAATCAGCGCCATCTAGTAACAGTTTTAGTAGCAGTAGAGCTCCTTGTGAAAGAGTTCGTCCAGTGAAGTACTGCCACCTTATCTACTTCTTCCGCCTTTCTGGTTTTGAAGGCTACGGGTGCTGGTGAAATTACAGGCATATAAGAATTGTGACTATGTGACCTCCTTACATCGTCAACCCACCTTTTCATCGCCTTTGCTCCGGTTCCTGCCCACTCGTTTTTAACCGACTTCAAAAAAGGAGGAGGTTCTCAATTCGACTGTATGTTCTTTCTTTTTTTTTTTTTTTTTTTTGTATGTATGTTACGCGATAACTCCGGTATTTGTGAACCGATTTTCATGATTCTTTTTTTGTTGGAAAGGGGGTATTTCCATAGTGGTCCCATTTCATTTTGAAGAAAATCATCCACCTCAAAGGGTGGCTGTTCACGCATGAAGATTCATTTTTATAAATAGCGCCTAACTTTAATTTAGGAGCAATTACTTTTAGCAATTATTTAGTTGATTTTGCTATTTCTCCAATTCAAGGCGTTTTTCTCTCGATATACTTTGAATAGTGTCGTAGTGAGAACCTATTTTTATTATCTCCAGTCAAGTCCTGTATACTGGCGAACTAGGGGATATTTCAATGAAACTTAGCAAATAGACGTAATTCCACGTACTTTTGAGGTCGGTTTTTTTAGTACTCTGTACTGAGATTATTAAATTTTCTATCGTTCTTTAGTTCCTTTGTTTCGCCATTCTGATTTTGTTTCGTTACATCGTCACTCCCTGCTCAATTTTAATACCACTTAAACCTAGTAATTCCGTATAACTCGGCCCTTTTGGGGTAAGTGTCTGAACAGTTTGTTATTATAATATAGTGAGGGAGTGTTTTATACTGTTGTGCCTATTTTTTATATACCTTTTTTACAGCCTTTTACTTCCAACTTCAACAAAATTTTGAGTGGACCGAAGTATCCTATTTTATTGTTTGTCAACTTGTACCTCAGGGCGCAGTGGCAGTGCCCCCAGATCTTTGTGATTTAAAGTTCTTAGTAGCACTGCAACTGTTTTGTAACTCGTCACATGGTATCAGAAAAAATCTTGATACAAGATGGAATTTTGACCTTTTACAGAGTTGCGACCTGTAGTATGGACATTAGCAGTTCTCCTCAGCTATAGGTCCATGATACGACAAAACTTCAGGAAAACTAACAGACCAAGACAAGTTGTAACAATGACAAACCTGAATATGTTATGGAGCTGCAACTCGGCAGGGAAGCACTCGTGGATGACATCCAACGTCTTCATGATTTTACTCTGCACCGAGCCCAGGATGTCCGTGCCCAACTTCATGAGTAACCTGTAAAAAAACAATAACATGTTTGGGGTAACAGATCAGAAGTCCGAAATTGTTTGCTCGAATGTCATAACTTACTGATTTATAACGAAAGCGTGATTTTTTCATGAAGCGCCTGAATAAGTATTATTAGCAATTACACGGAGAAGATAAACTGTTTTTTTAGAAGATAACTTTTGCAAAGGCGTTTTATTAATGTTTTAAATAACTTTTTATAGAAGCTTCCTAAAGTAGTAAAAAATATGTTTAGGTAGTAAATAGTTATATAAAAAAAGTAAATTATACATTGCTGGAACCACGAAAAACGTAAAGTGATTAGCCAACCTCACGTCACAATGGTCGGCGCTTTATTTCTTTAATATTTCCGTTAGCGCTAAGGTACAAAATATGTCAATAGGTAGTAAATAATGAGCCCAGTTTGATTTGTATATCACGTTTGGTCCAGCCAGTCTGACGGACACCTTATGGAAAGGATGTTATTATAATATTCCTCAAAAAAGCGTTTCCCATGGTAAATTATTTTCGGTATTCTGAAAATTCGATCAAATGTTCTTGAAATGACTTAGGTAACCTAGGAGAACTCATGTTAAATATTTACGTTAATGCGACTATGACCCGTGTAATACATACCTTAAAAAGTAACGTACATGTAATATAAAGACTAAAATAACTAATTTAGACGAATGATAAATATTGCAAATGATAAATGTATTCAAATGTATATTTACAGAGAGCAACCCCTAGAGGTTTTGCTCGTTCTTCTTAAAATCTGTCTTACGAATGAGCATTAGAGTTTAATCACTATGACGATTTCAAGTGTAATTTAACTTTAAGATTATGTGAATATGTGCGGATGCCCTAAGTTTCTAAAGAAATACACCACTTGTCTCATATACTATGGCAATTGTGAAGATACGAACCTGAACATAAGCTGGTAGAGCCAGTCCTTCAACTGCTGCCAATGCACGAGCAGCAGTTCGCACACGGCATCCAGCAACAGGGAGAACACCTTCGTGTGTGCGTCCACGAACATCTTATTGAGAAGGTCGGTAAGGCGCTTCAGTTGTTCGTCCGTAAGAAGACGCCCGCTGTTTAGGTAGTTAGCCTGTACGAAATTTATTTTTTTTATAATATCAAGTGACGATACGAACATGTCGTATGCCTGGTGGTCAGCGACATGCCTGTCCATAACAGTTGCAGTACCACTCAGAGCTTTAAACAGTAACGATCTGAGGGGCACTGCCACGTCATCCTGAAACATAAGTTGATAAGTCCCATGCGCTTGTAATTTCACCAGCAGCCTTACTTACCCTCCAAAGTTACCACTTGTTAATAGATATATTTGAAACTTTAGAGCATTCAACAGAAATTGAATTACATACTATATTTATTGTAGACTTTACTCTTAAATTAGGTTCTTTTTTTTAAAGTAATGTAAATACTCCTGTGCATCTTTGATAATACTTGCTAGAGTGAATCGTTGTGCACGGATAAAAACTGCAGTAGTTTTTGAAGCTACGGCTGCATGTATTAATTATCCTTAAGTTAAACGAATGAGGTATAAATGAATAATAATAATAAAAAATCATTTAAACGCCGTAAGGGCGCTTTCAAAAGAGACGTTTATAAAAGCGTGGCGCCACTGTGGCGCTGCAGCCGCGGTATTACTGATTTTCACACAATATTTAGAAGGGTAGTTGCAGCGTCACCGTTTTTGTCATCATATTTTGTGAAATAAAATACATACGCGCAGCTGTCGCACAATGGCGCCACTAAAAGGTACCTAAAGTACCGGCACGCTATAATGGCGGTTTTGACGTTTGTCCACTCATCAAGTTTTAGTATTAATGAATAATTACGTTGCTCATTGCTGTACATTGTTCTCGATAGTGACGTGCAGTAAAACTTACGGAATGTGTAATTTTACGACACAACTCGGCATTTGGTTTTCGAAATTGGAAATTTTCAAATGATCGTCAATTATTGAATCACTGGCCAGCACAACTTCTACTTCCGATTGAATTGTCGATATATTAAAACTATTTAACCAGCTACCCCTTGCAATACTAGTTATAAACCTAAAAAGTTATAGATGCGACCGGATTTGATTATATTTTATTCGATAATGAATTGAGATTTGACCTCACTATTGTAATCTGCCAAACTATTGTACTGTAGTGAAATGACTGAGAAAGAAGGGAGTGAACCAACCAGGTGCGTGAGCCCGTCCTTGCGCTCGGTCCAGTGCGTGGAGGCGCACAGCGCGATGATGTCGTCGGGCGGCGGCGGCGGCGGCGGCGAGCCGCACTCCCAGCCCAGCCGCGTCGCCGACCCCGACCACGACACGCTCTGGGCACACGCGACATCGCAGGTAAGTCAAAAACTTCAAATATTTCTATTCATCAATGTCCAATGGTCGGAAATAGGTGTTCCACATATTCAGAATTACTTCAAAATCCAACTTCCATTTCCTAGGTCAGTAGTTGTCCTGCGATGCAGTAAAGCCATTTCCGGAAATCCGGAATTCGAAAAAAAGTAAATAATTAATATTTGGTGGTTTTAACAACGCTAGGTCGCTTCTTGTATCTCTAAATGTGGAACAACTTTTTCCGGCCATTGTTAATGTCCAATGACAGACAGGCCGGTTATTAATTTACAGGAAGACGGCGCCGTCTATCGGATGCAGTTTAACATGTTCGATTTCTCACTGGTTTCCTAACGTATTCCGACCCACTGTCTAGTTCTAATACGGCAGGACAGGTGGTGCTGATCTCCTTAATAGTCCCTCTTCTTGCCGTGTGTCGTTAGGATATAAGGCTATTATGTATCTGTTATTTTTCGAATTACAAAACTACGCCGACACACATCGTTTTGCATTTTTTCCATCTTCTCAATTTCACCCTGAAGAATCTGATCCTCGATAAAACAATTAAATATTGCTACTCTTTCCTAAGGCAAGTTCCCCTTTGAATTAGATGTCGGATTAACGAGCCTACTTATGAAGTTATGGCCGAATGTTTTCAGTTGTTCCGTGGTAAAGACCCAAGAGAGAGTTTGGAGTCATTTGAAATGTGGTGCTGGAGGTGAATGGAAAAAATGAAATGGATTGAAAAGAGATCAAATGAGGAAGTTTTGGAAAGGTTTGGGGAAGAGAGAATTCTGTAGAACGCAATAGAGAGGAGAAGGGGAAGAATGTTTGGACATTTGTTACGTAATGACGAATTTTTGAGAGTGATAATTGAGGGGTGACTAGGAGGGAAAAGAAAGAGAGGAAGCCAAGAATGGCGTAAAGAAACAAATAAAAAACAAGATCAAAGTGAACAGCTATAAAGCAGTCAAGGAATTGGACATGAACCGTGAGGAGTGGAGGAGGCTACACCGACAACATTCTGGCTCTTAAATAGGATGATGATGAAGACCCAAGGCACTAACCTTTTGAGTACCGGATGAAATTTCGCCCTTTGGTGCTAGCCCTACTAAGGACAGAACCTTACGATAACTCCGATTTCTTTTCACTTTTATTCACACCCGAACTTAATTTGTTTTAATGCATTCCTTCCAAAATACTTTTATATACATTTTTAAGACATTTACATAAAATAAATTAATAAAATTGAACAAAATCCAGACTTTATTTAAAATAATTAGAGATATCCATATTACATTCTTGCTTTGTAAACAATAGGACCTTCGGTAACTTTCATTCGATAACTGTGTTCTGATTAACGTTTAAAGCCTTTGCCGGTCGAGAAGTTCGAGTAATCATACGGCTGTGATGTCATTTCGGTTCGGTTTCGAATACGACAATTTGGCATTCGATTCGGGTGTTGTGAATAAAAATGAAAAGAAATAGTACGATTTATCGTAAGGTAATTAAGGTAAATTAAGGTAATTGACCCCCAGCTCGGAAAGCGCCGTTCGATTCGAGAAGGATATCGAATCGAAAGATTGGGTTAAAATATCGAAGAGTTGTGAATCGGGATCCAAACCCTGTACTCTCATTATCCATCCGAAACAATTACTGTCAAATAATAAATACTTGTCCAAATTCAAAGAAACTTCTTAATTCACACCTTGTTTTAATTTAGTTAAATATTACTTATTTGAGTAATTGTTATGGACGGATGTTGGATGAAGAACGAGTGTAGGCCCTCAGGATCTGACTGTTAAGGTCCCTGCACAGCCTTGTTTGCACATAAAATGGTGCCCTTCCCATATAACCAAAATGTTGACAGGTAGGGGAGACTATAAACAAAACTTAAGTAGAAAGATATGGGATTGTTCTGTGATGAAGTTTCATGCTAGAATATTTCTGCACAACTTTTTTTAACATACGATAAAACACAATTCTTACATCATGTCTTCTATATGAGTCAAGACTCCGCTCGGAGCAGACGCTGGAGGCTTCAGAGTCGTCATCCCGCATCCTGCCCACATCGCACGACGAGCTGTCTTCGGGGCTCTACAAAGACATACAACACAGAATATTATAGTTGCAGGTGATGTGGCATGTTACTGGCCACGGCTGCCCATGGGAAACTGTAAAGGTCCCGACACGTTGGTTGGTTTGAAAACACAAAAATACGCTAAATTAATAGTTTCATTTCTAATATAGTTATTTAACTATTGAATGACACATTTTATATAGTTACGTATGAACATACAATTTTAATAAAACAAAAAAAATGCTATATTCAACAACTGCAGTGTATGCGTCTGCAAATATACAGGGTTATTTCTAAAATCCTAACAACCCCGTAGGACTGTATTACAAACATCATAAACAACAATTTTTGTTCCATGACTTGTAATAATTCATCAACGTTACTTTCGTACAAAAATAATTAAATAGCTCTAAACAGTCATAACTCTATGCGATACGATGCAAAACGTAGCAGCGGGGGTGGGAAGCACATTTGGACTTTTTAAAATATAATATTAAGAGACGGGACGAACAAGCCATGCGCTTGGTGATAAGCGACACGCCTACCCAGTGCCATTCAGAGCTTTTTATCGCAAAGATCTTAGGGGCACTGCTACTGAGCCCGTCACCCTGAGACATAAGCTGACAAATGCTATGTGCCTGTAACTTCAACCGTGACTTAAAACCTCACTATACAGATCTAAAAAGTATTAGATAGTAGAACAAAAAAATTTAAAACTTAATATATTTGATAAATATATTATTTTTGTAAAAGCCATAATAATAATTATTAGGGTGTAAAGAAAGCCTCTACATAACCTTGCAAAAAGCTGTAATTTTAAATATATGCCGCATCGTCAGAAAGTTCATGCAGATGGAAGAGGACGAAGTAGGATCTTATTACACACCAACCACATACCCGTAAATACACGCCATACTGCATTTACTTGACTTAGGTCCGTAAACGTGGATCAAACCAGCTAACAAGCTGAGGAGACTAAAGTAAATAATAATAATAACGCACACACTCAACATAGCCCCGTATTAGGGAAACCCTGTGTCGCGGGTGCTATACTCACGAAAGACCTATCTATGTCATACAAATATTTCTCCGGCCCGGGAATCGAACCTGGGACCTATGCGTGGCAGTCCGGCGTGGTAACCGTTCAGCCACGGAGACAGTTAAGCAGTCATGGAAGAAAAGTGGTTGTTTACGATGTTAGTAATATAGAGGTTGTTGTTATTTTACCAAATAACCATGTCTTAGCCGAATCAAAGTGATATTTATTAAAATATTCACCAATTGTTACCAGTTGCTTGTATGCAACATAAAACACGGAAGTGACTACGTTTGTGGGGCG